TGTCTTTTTAGAAAACTGTGTGTTTGTGTGTGTGTGTTTCCAATTCCTGTGGCAGAACCCAGTTTGTATTCCAAACTGGTTATCTATAATTTTTAAGGCTCATTTGAAACTGTAACATGTTCATATTGCATGTGAAAACGACTTTTTTCAGTGGTATGAATTAAACTAGCTTAAAATTTAAACCTTAACCACAATTGCATTGTTAACCTATTTTACCATTCATAAAATTGATAGTATAACTAACAATCCAAAGTGAAATTTTTTATTCAACTTTGTGAAATAGTTTTGATTTTTAGAAGTCAGTAATCTTAACACTGTCTTAAAAAAAAGATAAACAATGAAGATTCACCTTAATTCTGATACAGATTTACTTCACAAAAGATGTTTTTATTTTAATGTTGTACTCAGCTAATGAAAAAAGCTGATGAGTATAATTCTAGTTAAAGATAGATATGTTAAGGAATCTATTTAATTTGAAAAAAAAATTTAAGCAATGATTTAGGCTGTGGTGATGAAATTCTTTACTGTCTGGGCTTACTCATTGAAATTAGAGTTTATATCATGGATATAAAAATAGGACCTTTTTGAAAATGTGCTTTTATTTGAAAATTTGGTGATATTTAGCTTTATAATAAAGTGTTTCTCTCCTGCTTTATGAATTAGAAATATCTTTCTTATATCTAAATGTATAAAAATATCTTTTAAAGTTATTTTGTAGAATGGAATTTTCTTTATTCTTTGGTAACAAAACAAGGGTCATATGTACTATTTGAGTTATAAACATATAGAATGTTCCCTAATATACATTGTGATACACATGCACTGTATGAAGCAAAGCTTAAGGTTTATGTTATTTTTCATTCTTTTTCTTAACCACTTAAAACCACTTGATGCTGTCTACCAGCATGTTCCATAGAAATATGATAGGTAGCCTGTATGTGAGTTTTTAAAAGTTTGGACGGCATATTTAAAAACTTCTTTTTCTTCTTCTTCTTTTTTCTTTTTTTTTTTTTTTTTAAAGAAAAAAGGTAGTTAATTTTAGTAATGATTTACCTACACATACATCTATTTTGACATGTTATTAGAACAGTTAAGTTTTTGTGAGATAATAAACATTTATTATTGTCTTAAACTACTGAAATTTATTTCTCAGTTTTTAAAAATACAGGTAACAAAATTTACTATCTTAACCATTTTTAAGAGTATAGTTCATTAGGTTTAAGTTAGTTCATGTTGTATAAACATAACTACTATCCACCTCTGGAATGCTTTTCATCTTGAAAACCGGAAACTGTACCCTTAAGCTGTAATTTCCCATTCCCATCCTTCCCCGGGTGCCTGGCAACTGCTATTATATTTTGTTTTTCTGTGATTTTGACTGCAGTTATTGAGATATTTTTACATTCTTTTTTGTTTCATACTATGTCTGAAAAAGTCAGTGTTTATTTTACATCTGCAGTACAACTCAGTTTGTACTAAGCACTTTTTACACACTCATTAGCCACATTTGGCTATTGGCTGCTGTTTTGGATAGCTTAATTCTGTGCTGTGGTACTGAATCCATATATAATTGGTCTGTTAGTATGCTATGTGAATTAATTCTATAAAAACATTCTGTTATACTTTGTTATTTTGTCCTTATTTGTTATTCAGAACAATAGGTAGATTCTGTGGTCAGCAAACTTCCAAAAATGGTATGCCAAGATTCTGAAGTGATGACGTCTTTGTAACTGGATGGACATTATTGGTCATATGACTGTATTTGAGAAAGCTGGTGTCCAAAAAGTTGCTAGTTATGAGCTACCAGTTCTTTGGAGCTTTTGCTTGGAAATACGGATTTCTTGAAGCATGTATGTTAGGGCTTCCCAAGACCAAATCATTATGCTCAATGACTTTTTAGACTCATAGAATAGAGAACAGTGGTTAACCTCATTGTTATGATTTATGTCAGCTTAAAGATATACACTAAAATCAACAGTGAGGAAAACACATATAGGGTGGAGCCCAAGAAAAACCAGACATGAGCTTCCAGTTGTCCTCTTATTGGAATGGCATAGGCAGCATTTAATTCTTTCAGCAATTGTGTTTGGCAGCTTGTGCAAAAGAGATCACCTAGAGGAGCTTACCTGAGTCTTTGTATCCAGGACTTTTAGTGGAGATCAGTTAGATGATCTGATCTCATAAACATGAAATGCCTATCTAACTGATTTAAGATACTTACTTTCCAGTCTGCCCTATCTTTTCTCTTCCTAGAAGTCAAACTGATCATATGAAAAATCAGACATTGACCATAATTCACATTGTTAATTTAAATCATCTGCTATGAGGGCTGGGGAATAAATAAACTCAGTCGTAGGGCATTTGTCTAGCATGTATAAGACCCTGGGTTTGATTACTAGCATTGAAACAAAATTGTCTGGTATGATCCAGTCTCAGGTATACAGAGACACTATTATCAGGTAGAATATTCCAAGGGCCTATAGGTGATCTTTCAGGAGTCTCTGACAGGTGAATCCTTTCTTCAGAATATGCATGGTTTCAGCACTATAAGCCTGCTGAGTTACCCTTTTACTACACAGGATTATTCCAGAATCTTACAAAGGGAGGTGTCTTACAGAAACAAAAAGGTAGATAGATGAAAGAGTATACTTTCAGGGATCATTTCTATAGTTTGTTACAAGGGTAGATGGGTGACAGCTCAGTTCACATTAAATATCTAGTATGTTTAAACAAATGTCATGGATAAAGGATGACTATCAGAAGTGAAGAATATAAAATTTAGGACATCTCTACAGGTAACAGGTTTCTCTGGTGGAGTCTACTCAAGTTTTCTAGCTGCCTTCTGTAAGGAGGCAAGATGGAATACATATATTTGCCTTTTCTAATCCACATCAAAGCCTACATTTTACCTCTGCTGGAGTAACTTAGAAGACTAAAGCTTCTGCTGAAACTACTAGAAATGCTAGGGAAATAAAAATTTGAAGGCATTATAGAACTTTTGAATCAGTCAAGACTTGAGGAGTCAAGTTTCAGGAGAGAAGGGAAACACACCTTGTATGCTGGGTTTCCTCTTGTGTTTTCCAAATCTTAAGGTGTTTTGGGGTAAGAAGATAAAAGGGTATAAGAGATGTGGGTATAAGCAGGGTATAAGAGACATGGAAAAAGCAACAGAATGGAACTTTCACTAGTTTTTTGTTGTTTTAAGGACCATAGGTTTACAGTTGGAATCTCTTCAAGGGCCATACAATAAAAGTAAGGACAATAAAAGTGAGGACAAACTCAATCTCAAGGACTCTATCCCTGATTGGATTGAGTTGATCTGTTGGTCTCCTCCTAATCTGATTGCCTGCTTAAAAAAACAAAACAAACCAGAACTAAACTAAATCCTCTATGGAGGAAGATAACAGCATCCAGAGTCTCTAGTTTTTCCATTGACATTTTTATGCGTGTATTTACCTACAGTATCTGGCATCCAACAAGAATTTGCTAGGTAATAGAACAAAACCAAGAGAAAAAAGTCAACAATAGATATAGAGCCACAGATTATGCAGACTTTTGGGTTACAAACGGGCTTTAAAATACTACAACCTATTTATGAAAATAGATGCTGAGAATAAGAATTTCACTAAAAAACTAGAATTTGTAGAAAAGAATCAAGTGGAAATTCTGGAACTAAGAAATACAGCACCACAGGTGGGTTTAATTGCAGGTTAGACAACTGGAAAGAGGAATAATAAACAAAAAGATGTTAATAGAAAATTCAGTGGCATGAATATGTCATTTTGGCGTTATGACTAAACCAAGATATGGCATGAGAGTTTTTCAGTGACTTCTAAAGAGCATCTCTTATTTTGGAGCTTATGAGTAATGAAGAGATCTTATTAGAGTGTAAATTGCAATTCTTGCTATTTTAATGTATGTGGTTTTATATTTTATGTTTTTATTATAGTGGTTTCCTAAAAATGTAGTAAATAAGTAGCATGAAGAAAGTAAAACATCAAACTATCATCTAACATTTGTACTTGCTACCTTCCCCACAGCCTTTGCGCAAACAAACATTATTGTATAATACCTTTCTGTCTTATTCAGAAATCACCTGTTAAGCATACTCAGCTACTTAGAGCTTTAGAATAAGGAAATAAGCAAAACAGATGAAAAACAGACAAACAGCTAGATAGTAAAACTCATGTATTTTAGCATGGGACAGTTGTTGATGCCCTTACTCTTATTTGGGCACCTTACAACTTGTTCATCATAAGTCAGAAAGAACAATTTATAAAAGAAATTATAGGTAAATTGTTGGAGAATTGGTTTTGGCAGCAAGTACCTTATTTCATCACTTATAAGTCTCTGCTATAAGACCATTCATTTATGTAGGTAAATGGTAATTTTAGTTTTTAAGTCTTATTGCTGTTGTAATTTGTTTGACTTGGGTCAGTGCTTTGAGCATTTTTTCCTAATATGAAAATGGGATGCAAACATCATTCTTCATCCTCCCCCTTCACCTCTCCGCACGCCCCCCCACCCCCCCACCCCCCCACCCCCGCCTCCGTTTTATCTGAAGATACCACTGACTGGTTCCTGTATGATGATTGAGACTTGTTATAGAACCAAAGCATCAAAATAGTGGTGATATTTTGTTAACTTGGTTTTTAGAAAATGCATTTTAAGAACATTTCCAGTCCTTCTAATTATAATTATTACGTTTGAAGTCTCACTTTCAGCTACATTTTTTTTTCTGGTGGTACTGGGGATCAAAAAAAAATTCTCAGTGTTTACTTACATAAAATTCCTGTTCTTCTATTGATGCCAAATAAATACAGCATTGACCAGAGCAGGTACATGTTTTTAAGCAAAGGGTTGAGTTTTGTGAAGTTTGTCAAAAGTGAGAATTCCTTATCATTTCCTACTTTGAAGATTCCCAGTAAATCCAGAATGACTTGTTTCTTCAGCAGTAAAATAATTATAGCTTTGCTTTTGTGTATGTTCTTTACTTTTAGAATTTTTCAAGCCACCTTCAATTGATAGGAGGATGAAAAAGTTTAAGAGAAGGCTATCCCTCACACTTCGAGGAAGTCAGACAATTGATGAATCATTATCTGAACTGGCTGAACAAATGACTATTGAAGAAAACAGCAGCAAGGACAACGGTAAATATTTGGGATAGGGGTGGTACTTTCCCCATTTAATTACCTTATAAATATAATGTAAATTGACTGTCCAGATAATTTCATAATAGTGTTCTTTTGTTTTTCCTCATTCCCTGGTTTCTTAGGAAACAGATGACCATATAGTGTTTATATGCTTATTACTTATTGGAATATTCCACTGTCACTCAAAAAGTGTTGCCGTACCTGGCTTCACCCCAATGACTTATACTATCCTATATATCTTTCTGTTTTTACTAGCTTATAAATAAGATTGCATTACGTAATATTATCCTAATTGTTAAATATTTTTAAATTAACATTTAAAATTTTTATTATTCTTGTAATCTGAGTTAACACTAAAGTAGATGGGAAATTTGTGAAATTCCGTTTTGTAGCTTCATCATAGTTTTATAACATTCCATGTGCATGTTGATTATTTACATAGATTACAGTTTATCGCATTAGTGAATTTTACTAATTTCTAATGTTTACCACAGATTTTATCCATAGTAGTCAGAATACTTACGGCAGGTAGACAGTATTTCATTCATTCTTCAGTGCTTTTTACAACTCAAGGTAGTAGTATGTAGATATTAATATAAAATAAAAAGCGTTTACTGAATGAATTAAAATGCAAACTTGGTGAAAGTTTTAGAACAGGGCTACAAATTCAAAGCCAAAATAATCCTAGGGATGTTGTAATAACCAGGAAGGAGCTTACTGCTAATGGTGTCAGGATGTGCAGAGTATTTTTTGCCTGTGTCTGAAATTTTGCTGTTAGATTTGTGGTAGTTGGACAAAAACACGAACACCCTTACCTCTACTGTTGCATGTAAATGCTTATGTTGTGAAAATGGGCGAGGTATAATGGAAAAGGGTTTTTACTTTAAGTTACAAGTCATGGTTTGGGATTTGGGATACACTGACAATACTGAAACACTTAGTTGTATGACTGAATAAGTCAGTTTATCCACCCAGACTTCAGATAACTTACTTCCTTTCTTCAGAAGGGTCATTATTTACTCAAGGTTATCCAGCTCACTTTTGGCAGAGCCTAAGTGTCTCTGCCTCAAAGTCTGCACTTCTCCCAGCCCCTTTTGGATTTTCTAAAGCTTTCCTTGATATCGACTGTTTAGTTTTTAATATGGGTGGAGGAGAAATGAGCTTAGAAGGAAATTAAAAATAATAATATTTTTGATATAATTATATGTAGGAGGGGAAATTTTTGCATCTGGCCCAGATCCCAAAGGTGATTTTATAATCTTTAATTTATCCCTTTTGTAAGAAGATACGATAGGTACATGGACTAAAATCCTAATTTTCTCTCAGACTACCATCGAATTACTGGTGTTAATTTAATCCAGTGTGTTCATTCTTATGACAGAAGAGTCTTACCAGTATGTTTCCTAATGATGTTCAGGTAAAGTAAGCATGATATGCATCTTGGTGGGCTTTTCAGATACACTCTTTGGGTAATGCAGCAGTATTTTATTTATTCTGTCCACTAATAACTCCTTTGAAAACATTTATAATATTTATTTAACTTACTCTGAAAGAAGATAAATCTTCATTTTTTTTTAACATCTTGACACTGAATATTAATAGACACAATCAATATAATTACGGTCCAAATTACTCTGCCAAAAACTTACAATAAATTAGCGCTTGGTGTTGGTGTATTTACACACAGCTCAGTTTTTGGTGTAAAGTTCTTTGGCTGCAACAAAGAGCATTTGGTTTACTTCACTAATAGGAATATCTCATAATGCTGGGATGCCCTTTTCTTGGCATTTCTTCTGCTGTTGATTTTTAGCATAGTTATCTGTGATTGTGTGAATAGAATTGAGTAGAGAGGTACTCTTCCTGTTAATTCCAAATAAGAGTACATAACTGATTACTATAGTTAAAAGGAGGTACATAGGTAATGCAGCTGCTTAGTATTGAAGCCAAACAGGTGGCTTAAGCAAAGAACAAAAGCCACAGATTACTCTTTCTGGCAGTGGCAACGGGGAGTTCCCACCATTTTCCCTGTGGCTTTTGACAACCTCAGTGTTGACTTCTCTGCGCCAGTGGTGGCCGGGAACCGCAGTGGGGGAAGAAGGAAAATCGAGGAAAAAGCCCAGGTGCCATGATTCCCCGGGCCCTGGCCTCGTGACCCCTCAGATTTTTTTCTTTTTTTTGGTGGGTCTGGGGTTTGAACTCATGGCTTCATGCTTGCAAAGCAGACACTCTACTGCTTGAGCCATATCTCCCCCCATCCCCCGACCCCTCAGATTTTTAATGAGTATTTGAGTATAAGACAAATTGTTTTTAAAAGCTGTGAATCAAAGATAAACCTACTTTTTTGGACAACTCATTGATATTTTAGACAAATTGCATATTTTCTGAAATACTTTATATTAGCTGTCTTAAAACATGCTTAGTTTGTAATAAATTTTGACATGTTGAACATCTAATATTGTTCAAGTAGCATATATACATATATATTATTTTATTAAAACTTCCTTTTTTTGCAGTATTAACTTTATCAAGTAGTTAAAGGAAAATAGGAGCTCTGTCTCTTCTTGACCTAAATTATTTAAATAATACTTAAAGATATCATAATAGACATTGATTCTTTGGGTTGCAGAAATTAGTGGTAGCATAGACTACCATAATTGCTTCTGCTTATTGCCTTTGGGTTATAATATGGATTTCACCAACAGATTTGACACACATTCTAAGTCATTTTGGTCACCTATCAGTGCCTGATAACTGGTTCCAGAAGGTTTTTTTCCTTATAGAGTTGAGAAGTGTTTTTTGTTGTTGTTGTTGTTTTTTTAGCATTAAAAAGCTCCTAAGATAGGTCTGTCTGTCTGTCTCTCTTTCTTTCTCTCCCACTCATATATATGTGCATGCACACACACAGTCTATGTCAAAATATGATGTAATGAATGTGTATAGAATATATTATTTAAATGGTTTACTCACAAGTAACATAATCAGCTTATGAAGCAAAAATGATTTTTGTCTAGTGCCAGTTAGTGACAATACAGCTTAAGGAGTAGGAGGAATATAGTTTATAATTTCTTTGAGTAAATTTTCTCTGGGCCAATTTTTTATTTCCTTTCCAGTCACATGCATGATCATAATCCTGCTATTCTTACATTGTGTATAGGCATATGGCTGTCATGCATACTCTAGAACAAATCAAATGAAAAGAACACATACAGGGTTGTATTACTGTAAACATCTTGGGAAAATTATAATGCATATGATACCTTGGGTTATTCATATACACTGAGAGTCTCACTTGTGCATATTCCTCTGCCTTCCAAATATAATTTGAGGTATTCATGTAAGTCAAATTATATTGTGTGTTTATTTAACTAGAGAATGTTTGCAAATTCAAAGATGGATTGAATCCAGGAAAGGTGAGTCCTAAATTTGTAATCAGTATATGCGAATAAGCTGAAAGTTGGTAAACTTGGTGGTTTAAAGACACAGCCTTAACTTAATACAGCTTTACTTAAATATGAAATTAAATTTTTGCACAAAAATTAATAAGTGGAAGTATGAAATATTGTTTCTAAAATACAAGGAAAAAGAATTCTAAGCATATCACATTTCTTTTTATTGGGAAGATATTAAATGCTTATTTTTTTAAATTACCAAAAATTAATTCATCTAATTTCTTCAAAAAGTTAAGCATAGAGTTTCATATATCCCAGCAGTTCTGTTTCTAGAGTTATATCAAAAGAATTGAAACAATGTCTTGTTCAGATTCTTTTCTACTTATAATTAAATAAATTCTAAGTATTATATTTTAAAAATGCTTCTGCTTGATAATGGGTCTGTTGTTGTTTAGTGACTTTATGTTAAAAATTCCAAATTTGGGGCAGTAATGTCAGAGCCTCCTTGGGTACCTGTATTTTATTCATCAATTGACATACCTGTTTGGATGTCTCTCAATAGAGATATAAGTTCCTTTAGTTCAGGATTATGACTTTTATATTGTGTAACCTCCTTAATTATAAGGCACTTTACTAGGTAATCAATACATGGAAGATTAGTATGGAAACAATCTTGAGATTAAGTAAATAGATAAATACTTGTGGGTTTTATTAGTAGTTTTGTCATTGTTAACCAATTTTGATTCAGAAGAAACAAATTGGCAAGTATATTAATTTATATTAAAGTATCTTCAGTAAGTATTTTTCATGAAAATGATTTAACTCTATGATTTGATATGAATAGCCAAAGAATTCAGGTGTAATGTAATGATCTCTATTACATCTTTTCCTTTTCTTTCTTTGTTTTTTTTTTTAAATCTGTTTTGCTTTCTCAATCCTTCTCATGTGATCCTGAATCTTGGGCTGACTATGGAATAATTGGATATCATGAACCACAGAACCTATTGTGAAGAATGGCAGACCGCCAACGTCTCATAGCATGCATTCCTTCCTCCATCAGTACACAGGGTCTTTCAAGAAACCCCCATTGCGGAGACCCCACAGTGTTATTGGAGGAAGCCTTGGTTCCTTCATGGCAATGCCCAGAAATGGAAGCAGATTAGGTAATTTGGGTTATTTGTCTGTTATATTTAACTTTCTGATTGTAGGACTTGTACATAGGGTTTTGTTTTTTTTTTTTTTTTTGTATGAAAGTCAACCAACCTTTATTAATCTGATTTCACTTGTGTCAGTTAAAAATCAAGTTAATAGTAGGAAAGATATCATAAACATTGAAGACTCCAGAGGGGTAGGGAGTACTGACACTATAGAGAAGTAAATGAACACTGTTCATTAAGAAGGAAACAAATCCCATAAAAGTGGATGCAAGATTTCAAGATAAATGGCAGCCTAAGATGATGATTAACTTAGTGTCATACTTCAAATCATTACCGTATGATAGCCCAATACAAAAATTAAATTATTGCCTGGGTTGTTGTTGTTTTATTATTATGTCCCTTTAAATATCCAGGAAAAATGTATATCTGCAAGTTTTCATGTATTTCATGTTTATTTCTGACCTTTTATGGTGGTATCTTTATCATGCTTTTTTTTTTTTTTTGGCTGTTCTGGGGTATGAACTCAGGGCCTCAGGCTTGCTAGACGTGCTCCACCACTTGAGCAACTTCACCACCCCTTTTTTGGTTGGGTGTTTTTTGAGATAGGGTCTCATGAACTACTTGCCCGGACTGTCTTCAAACTGAGATCCTCCTGATCTCTGCCTCCTGAGTAGCTAGGATTACAGGCATGAGCCACCAGTGCCCAGCTCATTTTTTGACTTTTAAAGTCATTTTATACACAGCTGTTTTCTTATCTCATTAAATAATAATTACATTTACAAAATTCCTGAGCATTTTATTCTACTGCTTGCTTTATTTCTTGCCATGGTAGATAGATTCCTGATGTGTTTCATTAGTTTTGAGAGTGTGATGTTACCTACAGTGGGGTTTTATCTAAGGGAAATGTGTGTAGCCTTTATCTCTATAAATGCAACCTTGCAGAATGGTGTGCTCAAATCACCTCACACTAGTTCTGAGAGATGCTTAAGTTTTCAGGAATTTTTTAAGCTGGTTGTTAAACATAGCTACTATTAAACTTTAAATTATGTAAGGCTACAATTAATTAAATCAAATTCAAAACAAAGGTAATAATACTCAAAAGTCATTACTTTTAATTGCTTCACTATTTTTTACTATTACCTGTATTGGGAGGGTTATTTCTATTATATCCCTATAGTCAAAATACTGTGTAATTGTATGCTACTGCATAATTTTCCCCCGTGTCATACTTTTCTGTTATGCCATGTTGGTAGCTTGGAAGTCAGCCATGTAGGGAATATTTATCTCATAGAATCACAAAACACTACAAACACTTGGTTTGTTGTTTGTTGTCTAAAAATTACTGATTAGTAAGTTTCTTAAATTTTATGGGTTGTAATCTCTGTTGCATATTCTTTTTGTTTGTGAGGGACTCTTTAAAAATGCAAAATATTTTTTAAGTTCAGGGACCATCTAAAAACAAACATCCATTCTTGAAAGTCTTGGTCTAAATTTAAGAAAGTGGTATTGAGGGGTCTTTACTCCAGTTTCCTGTGAAGGGAGCAGGAAATGTTTCTCCCCTTCTTTCCCCCATTTCTCCCCACTTTATCCTGTTATGCTAAAATAGAACCTTGCTAAAACTTCTACCTTGTGAGTCTCGTTTTGAGACACTTTGAAATGTTTTCTCATTTGTGGGTTTCAAGGACCTGTGATTTTGCATGGAAACTGGGAAGCTATGGGAGCCTCCGCCCCTCCAGTAATAGGAAGATTGGTGAGCCTGGGCCAGGATTTGAATCTCAAAAGGCACAAATGATAGAATAAAGGAGAAAATGTCATTAACAGACCTGGAGCCGGTACCAGTGGCTCATGGCTGTAATCCTAGCTACTTGGGAGGCTGAGATCGGGAGTATCACAATTTGACGCCAGCCTAGGCAAATAATTCGTGAATCCTATCTCCAAAATAACCAGAGCAAAATGGCAAATGATACATTTTTTTTTTTTTTTTTTGGTGGTACTGAGTTTTGAGCTTGGCTTCCAACGTGCAAGGCAGGTTCTCTACCACTTGAACCACTCAGCTAGCCCCACTGGAGCAAAATGGACTTGAAGTGTGGTCTTGCAAGAGTAAAGCTCTGAGTTCAAACTTCAGACCCACTACCATCAACTAATAATAATAATAATAATAGCATAAGGCCAAACCTAACATTAAAACTCATCAAAATTGGGACTTTAAAGACCATGATTGCAAAAAAGAAAAAAAAAAAGTGATGTTGAAAATGTTAGTAATGCAGATGAAATTTGAAAGTGTATTGTGTCTGTAGTGGTTATGTAGTGAATAGCACAAAAATTGAGCAGATAAATATTCTATCTAATTCTCATTACCTGGGCTAAATGCAGAGGCTCATGCCAGTAATCCCAGCTACTTGAGAGGCAGAGATTGGGAGGATTGTGGTTTGAGGCTAGCCTGGACAAAAAGTTAGTGAGAACCCCATCTTACCAAAACAGTTTAGCATGGTGGCACACACGTGGTCTTCCCAACTATGCAGTAGATATAAATAGGAGGATTGCAGTTTAGGCTCTCCAGGACAAAAAAGTGCAGAGACATTATCTAAACAGTAACTAAAGCAAAAAACACCTGCCTGGCAGGTCTGAGTTCAAACTCACGTACTTCCAAAAGCAGTAACAACAAAACTATTACCTCAGCATAGAAGTTCCTTACCCTGCTGATAATGAACAGAGATCTGACACAGGCCTTCATTGTTTCACTTTTGTCTTGAAAGAAATAAAAATAATCACCAATAAGTTACATGCTTGTAATGATGTGAATAATTTCTTGGTTGAGTCAGATGGTACTCAGGTGTTTATTTATATCTGAGATTAATATACTTCCTTTGTACTGCTTGTGCAAGAAAACATTTTTTCATTGTAATTTTGCATTTATTGTCATAAAATCAGAATACCCATGGTTATTAAAATGTCACCTCATTTTTTTGTTGTGCTGCATGGGAGTACATTGTGGCATTTACAAAAGTTCTTGCAATGTATCAAATATATCATAGTTGAATTCACCCCCTCCATCATTCTCCTTTATCCCCCCCTCCCCATTCCTGTAGTAGTTTCAACAGGTCTCATTTTCCATTTACATACTGTGTACACAGTATATTTATTTACCTACACCTTTTCTCTACATCCTTCCCCTTCCCACTGGTACCAACCTCCCCCCCACCCCCAGGACCTGTTATACATCTTTTTAAGTCTCAGAGGCTGAGCACTTTTAAAGAATTGGGCCTTTCTATGAGAAGGTCTCCATTGTAACTCAGACACCTAAGTCCTTAGCCTTTTATTCTGGTGTGGCAGCTAAACCCAAGTACCTTCTTAAGCAAACCCCGACCAAGGAAGTGTTTTATATACAAGAACCTATGCAATTCTCTGTTTTTGTATCCCTTACATTCTTGCAAGCGCTACACTTTAAAGTATTATATTTTGACCAACATTTCCTTGAGGAAGTAAGATTTTCAGATTTTGTTAGAAATGGAAGTCATGGTTAACTTATCTTTAAAATTTAAAAATGTGACAAAAGAATGCATAGCTTTAGAGGTGTTAGGTACCAAATTTTAAGTTATGATTCAGTCACCAATACATTGACCTTTAATGCCAAGTTAATTTTTTGGGCATATCTCATCATAAAGTTTCTCCAGAAATCTCTGTACAATTGAAGTGTGCCCATTACCGATTGTAACTACTGAGTGGGAGTTAGAATCTTCCCAATATTGGGTTACCAAGACAAAAATACAGAAGTAAAGTGAATTTTGATATTGATTTGATATGAGACCCTTGAGTTCAGTTTTTAATCTAAGCACTTCTCTTATTTTTGTAAGTAAAAATTATTCATTAAAAGTTTAAATTTGAGCTGGGTGTGGCTCAAGTGGTAGAGTGCCTCCTTAGCAAGTTCAAAGCCTTGAGTTCAAACCCCAGTACTGCAAATAAAAAAATCAAAAGTAAAAAGTTTAATTTATACACATAGAATATTATTTTCAAATATTTTGCACATTAATACTTCATATAACATTTCATTTGAAAAATAGTCCAATTATTTAATCCATTCTTTGATTTTTAGTTAATATTCTATTTATTGAATGTTTAGAATCTTCTCAGTCAGGCATTTTGCTAAGTTCTGAGAATTCAAAACTGAGTAAGCCAAATCTTGTCCCCAGGGACCCCATAGTGTGGTATAAAATCACAGGAACCAAAAAGTGCTATTAAGTGCACGGGTAAGGAATAGTAGTCAGTTGTGTCTGAGATTGGCAAAGACCTCACTGATCATGACACATGAGCATAGTTTTGAAGACTGTTGGAGACGCTGCAGCATGAAACAACACGATGCCATTTGAGGAATCAGTCATTACATGAAGGGGACTAGAGAAAGGAGATGAGTTCTAGATCTCACATTTATTTCTAGTGGGCTACATTTACTAGATGAATTAGAGAATGACAGGCAAGTACAAATATAGAAACAGGTAAGTATATAAGTTGGGGTGTGTGGGTTGTTTGTTTAGTTATTTAAATTTATTTGAGACAGGTTCTCCCTAGGTAGCCCAGGCTGGTCTCACACTTGGAATCCTCCTGCCTCAGCCTTCCAAGTGCTGGAATTGTAGGTGTGCACCACTGTGCTGGCCATAAGTTTGTTTTTAATATTCCTAGATAGAATTATTCTCTCTCTCCTTGACTTCCATTTAACTTTTATCTCTATTTAAAACATATGCCATAATCCACTTTATATTGTAATGTGAAAGTGTTTTGCTGTCAGCAATTTTTTTTAACCTTTTGAGAAGTCATAAACTTGTTTTTATAGTTCTGGTACCAAGTAGATAATTCATTGAATAGTATTTGAATAAATGAATGAATTAATTTTTGAGAAATGGCTTGCTTTTTTAGCCCAGATTGACTTGTAACTTGCTCTGTAGCTTTTAATCTCCAGACCTCCTGCTGCAGTCTGCTGAGTGCTGAGATTACAGGTGTGAGCCACCATGCCAAGCTCATTCCTGAGCTGAATTGTTTTATCTTTGGCACTGTGTGTGAGGGGGAAGGGCTAGTTTTTAAAAGCATATCTAATGGACTAGCTTGATTTGTCTGTAGACCCGATAATATATTATTTTATGGAAAGATTATTAAACTAAATAAGAGGTATAAGACCTGTTTTCTGTGCCAATTTTGCATCTAAGCTGTGTAACCTTTTGAAAGTCAGTTAATCTTTCAAGTTCTGAGATCTGGAAAATGAGACTCATTCCTCAAGTAGTCTATGCAGTCTAGAATTTTATTCAACTCATGATAATAATTTGAATGCTGTCCTTTCATAATCTTATGAGTGTAAAAGGATGTCTTACTATCGTTGTAAGACTTTTCAGTTATGTTTTGATCTATTAATTGCATACCTATGCCTTCAGAATGTAAACGGCTTTCAATGCTGTGATTTTTGCATGTTAACTGTATATTTTGCCTGTACTGTTAATAAATTATATAATATAGTAAGTACGATTTAATGTACCTTTTTTTTTTGTAGTATTGAGGATTGAATATAGGGCCTGGTGCATGCTAAGTGAACACTACCATGAGCTGTGCCCCAGTCCTATAATACACTTTTTTTTTTTAAGCATAAATGATATCTCATTTTTTGATCTAGATATTGTTCATGAAAATCTAAAAATGGGATCAGATGGTGAGAGTGACCAAGCTTCTGGGACATCATCTGATGAAGTCCAGTCACCTACAGGTGTTTGTCTCAGAAATCGTATACATAGACGGATCTCAATGGAGGTAATCATTTTTCAAAATGTAAATATATTTCTGTGTGTGTGTGTGTGTGTGTCTAACAAGCACACACACACATTAAGCAAATTAATGCCCATTTGAAACATTTTATAATGGCATATGACACTTAAAAGTGAGCTGGTGTTTTTACACTAGTCACTTGTAGTGTGTGAGTGTATTTTTTCTAATTACTATTTCAAGGCAAATACACATTAATTATAGTTGTTCACATTCCATAAAACGCTGTATTATATTTCCTGTTATGGAAAAGTGACCTTTTTTAAAATTCCAGAAATATAAAATGGTACATTAGTAATGTCTTCTTTGCAGAAAATATTTTATCTTTTTGAGATTCATCTGGGTACTTCATATTTTATACATACCTTAAAATTTTAAGAGATATAAATAAAGTAGACCCCACTTTCTTCCTTGCTTTGAGTATTACTTGTTTTGTGGTTCATTGTACCTATACATTCCTATACCACATGTAAAAGAATAAAAGATTTGCTTTTCTTCATCAACGTTACACCCTTGAGGACAGAAGTTGATATGACTGGTATCATTTCAATATGTACTATAGATTAAAAATAGTTTTCTGCAAAAATGTTGAAATTTCATTTTGTTTTATTATTAATTTGAGTATCTTCCTGCCTTACCCTACCAATTGGTGGGATTATAGGTTTGCACCACCATGCTGAACATGTTTTAAATAAAAGTTGTATCACTTTTGTCATTGCTGTTTAGATTCTTCGAGCATGTGTCCTGTTGGTCAGTTACATTTTCATTGTTAAAAGATTGCTTTTTGAATGAGTTAAGGAAAACAATATCAGTTTTCTAAATGATAAATTAACAGTCAACTCTTAGTATCAGCTTGATACCTGTGTAATATATGTATCTTAATACTAATTAAAATGTTCCTTATTTTTTTCATTTTACATGATTTCCTTTATTATATGTTTAAAATGTGTTAGTATTAGAGCATGTAGTTAGACGTTCAAAGAGTAGTTACATTTTTTCTCCCAAAGGTGACACACTGTAGATTGCATTCTTTTTATAGTTTTTTTTTTTAAATATCTGAGCTCTTCTCTTTTCTCCTCTTGTCTCCTCTCCTCCTCTTTCCTCCTCTCCTCTCCCCTCCCCTCCCCTCCTTCTCCTCTTCTCTCCCCCTTTCTTTGTTTGATGGTATTGGGATTGAACTCAAGGCTTTGTGCTTGCTACGCAAATGCTCTACCAATTGAGCCACGCCCCCACCCCCAAGACTTCTTTCTTTATTCCTCTCCTTTGCACATACATACAGATTAACCTGACTTCCTGTGGTGTGACTGGTGATTTTGAACTTTATAGTGGTGCAAAATTGATATGCGCTTAGTAGAAACTGTACATCAGTTTTGAATTTTAACCTTTTCCTGGGATAGAAATGTGCAGTACAGTACTCTTTTGTGGTGCTTGGCTGCAGTGCCTCAGGTCCCAGGCAGCCATGTAGTCAGGGGATTGAGAAACGAATCTTCTACACTATACTGTGTTGCTAAGCTAGGATGTTCAGTAAATTAGATGTTTTAAATGAATTTTTTTGTTTCATTTACTTATTTATTTTTTTGCTGTACCTTGGGCCTTGAACTGATACAGGGTCTCACTAATTTTTCTCAGGCTGGTCTATGCTTCCTGCTTAAATGAATTTTCAACTTAAAATAACTTAAAATGGGTTTATCCCATAGTAAGTTGAGGGAATTCTGTACTCTTATTTATTTTAGACTGTCTTTGAATTTTTTTTTGTTCATTTATTCTTCTAGATGAATATTGGGCATTTTGTTTTGCTCCAAAAGCAGTCTTATGGGGAGTTGCTTCAGATTCTGTAAAATTAATATACTGAGGTCCAGGGAAGTAGCTCAGTGGTAGAGCACAAGGCCCTAGGTTCAAGTGATCCCTAGCACTGCACATACAAAGTAATAATAATAATGTAAAAACCAGCATCATTTCATTGGTTTGTCTTATCATTTGAGAACATGGATGTATCAATACTTAAGTCTTACATTTCTTGGTAGTTATTTATATAGTTACTATATATATCTCTGTTCTGTGTCATAGCTTGACTACTATTATGAATAGGAGGGATTTCTTTGTACACAATTTACATTTATTAATGTGATGATAAGACAATAGCCCTTCTCAGGTTTCTCTAGCTCATATTCTATAACTAAATGAAATTGAAATGCCTTTTATTTTTTCCACTAACTGCAAGAAGAAAATATTTTAATTCTCTCACCATTTTGCATACAATATTATATAGTATCTTCTTGTTTAGTTATTTAAATTGACCCTATTTTGTGGTAGTCTGCTTTTTCTGAGTGTATGATATAATAATTTCACAGTAAATTCCAAGTTAAATTTGTCAGTGAAAAGACTCAGATATAACCAAGTTCTTTTAAAAAAATTTTTCTGTAAAATTGCATTGTATATACCTTTCCATACTATAAATACATTTGCCTCCAATATATTACATATAATCAATATGGGCAACTTTGCAGCTGCAATAAAACTTCAGTTATTTATCACTAAAAAATAATGCGTTAGAGCTCAGTTCAAAAGGCTAATCTCTTGACTATACTTTTTTTTTCTTTTTAAAGGATTTAAATAAGCGGTTATCCCTGCCTGCAGATATCAGAATACCTGATGGCTATCTTGAAAAGCTGCAAATCAGTAGCCCACCATTTGATCAACCAATGAGCCGAAGGTCTCGTCGAGCTTCCTTAGTAAGTTTTTGGTTTCCTGTACCTATAACCTACACCATCAGATCTGCTTGCTTGATTTTCTGGATGTAAACATTTAGTCTCTCTCTTTTTTTTTTTTTTTGTAGTGTTGGGATAGAACCCAGACATTTGCAGACAGTGCTCTACCATGTAGTTATACCACCCCAGCCCTTAAATTAATTTATATATATAAGTTTTGAATAGCTAAAATTTTACTACATTACCTTCTGGATTATATCATTTACCATTCTTAAGAGTTTATTGGAAGCCATAAGATACATGCAATTTGGAACAAGATTTAAACTGTATTTTATTTTTTGGTAAATTTTACTGATAAATGCTAGATGTACAGAATATTTGCTAGATATATGCACTAGATAAATGTGCTATATTTGCTAGATATATTAACATATATCCATATATAGTAGATATGCAGTGAAGTACCCAACCTTCATACAATTCAATAAATATTTGTGTGTTAACATATCTGTCTAACCAATATCCAGAGAGATCAATGAAAGTTTCAGAAATCTTTCTGTTACCTTTCTCTTCACTTAATAACTCTCATTGTCTCAACTGTAGCCATAATCCCTTGCCTTCTAATACCAACATGTGTCATACCATTCGGATTATATTGTTTTTATGGTATGTTTTTGTATCTGGACCTTTTATATTATTCATGAATGATTAATATTCTTTTCTGGGTTTTTTTTTTTTTTTTTTTTTGAGACACAGTCTTTCTGTGTAGCCCAGGCTTGCTTGGAACTCATGACTTTTTTGCCCTCAGTGTCCTGAGTGCTGAGATTATGAGCATGTACCACTATACCTGGCTCTCTCTTCTGATTATTCTTATTTAATCTTTTGAACTTTGTGTAATTATGAATATGTAAGTTTATTAAAATGCATTTAATGCAAATATATTGAAGTTTATACAAAGTTTAAATGTATTTTACAACATGTATCCCCATATGTATGAAACTATACGATATATATTTTTATGGTTGGTTTATTTTGCTCATTGTTAGGTTTGTGAATTTGATCTATGTTGTTGCATGTAGTTATAGTTCATTTGTTCTCATTGTGTGGTATTACATTACATAAGAATATTGTACTTTGTTTTTGAGTGTTTTATGCTTTATCCGTTCCCCTTTTGATGCACATTTGGCTTCTTTTTAGTATTCCAGTGCCTGCTAATTGAAACTATTTCACTATTATCAAATAGTGCTTCTATCAGCATTCCTGTGCATGTTTATTGGTTAGCATAAACCTGGGAGTAGAATTGTCAGATCATATAGTATGTATATGTTCACCTTCCCTAGAAACTGTCAAAACAGTTTTTCAAGGTGGTTGCACCAGTTTATACTTCTGTCATCAGAGTATATTTCTGATTCCTCTTTTTGCTGATTTTTATGTGTTAAAAAATTTAGCTTTTCTCTTATTACATTTTTTTTTTGATGACTAAGTTTGAACACTTTTTAATATATTTGTTGGTCATTTAGATGTGAATTAACTGACAAAGTCTGTTGTCTCCTTTCTACTGGTTTTATTTTTTCCCAGTGGTATCTCCTAGTAGGTATCAATTGTCCTAGCAGTTATTATTGAAAGAATACCTTTCCCTGTCACACTGTCACCCTTTACATAAATTCACATGATTGTGTATGTGAACATCTCTTGTAGATGACTGTAGTCCTGTACTAGAGATTATAGATTATAGTCCTGTGGAACAGCAGAATAGGAGACAGCAAGTAAAATGTCAGCAAATCACAAGCTTACACAAGATGTAGTGTTCTAGCTGATCCTAGGATGAGAAGGAATTTGTCAAGTTGAAAATGGGTTATGAGTGAAGAGTGTTTTAAGCAGAGGGCTCTTGATATTCTATACTAAAACCCAGAAATAGGAATATTTATGTTAGTTTGGGAAACTTACCCAGCTCATATGACAGGTAAACAGGGAATAAGATAAAAATAATCTTGAACAAATCAGATGGATCCAGAGGTTTAAAAAACCTTAGATGTCAGGTCAAGAAGTCTGGACTTTATCTCATGTAATGATAGTATATCAAAAGTATTTATTTGAACAAGAGCTGACATGATCACATTTTTGTTTCAAATGATACTTTTAGGAAAAGTGTAAACAGTGAATTAGAGGGAGAGAGACTAGAGTGATGGAGATGAATTAGGAATTTATTCAAAATTAGGGATAATGTGTCATATTAGAAACAGAAAGAATGTAGACCCTAGGGATCATGTAGAGAGAAAATAAGACCTAGTGTCCGGTAACTGATGTTGATTTCTGGGTTGTTAGCAGTTGTTAGTGCTCTTGTTCACATGCCATGGAATTTTTTATTCACCAAAAACTTCTGTTTTTATTAGCTATCCTAAAGATTAAAATTACTTTATTCTGTTTTTTTTTTTGGGCACAGTAACACTTACCAGTATATAAGATGGTAAAGTGTAACACCAACTTGATTTTAGTATCATTGCTTAAAACATTTTTATTGAAATAATTTTGTCACTTTGTTTTCTGGTCAAAAATATTCTTTGATATCAATTTTTATTAAAGATTTGTACTTAAGGTAAAATTTGAAGTTATATTTCAAATATAACTGGGAATAAAAGTGTAATTTAGCCACTACACAATTCTTTTTCTTTTTGCTGTGCTGAGGGCTCAAACCCAGGGCCCATATGCTAGGCAGGTACTCCAGACTACATCCCCAGCTCTCACCATGCAGTCATCCAAGAGCTATCTTTTGCAGTCTACGTGAAATTAAGAAAAACGGTGTTCAGTGATTGGAATTTTTATCATGGTTGCCTGTTTCTACCTCCCTCCCTTGTGTTTTGATTATGAAATTACTTCAGGGTTTCAGATTAATCATTCTATCTGTGCTTTGGTTTCTATTGGTGCATCCATTTCATTATTCACCTACCTAACTAAATGAAGCACATTTAAAAATATATTAGAAAAATTATTCTCTGAAATAAACATCTCTAGCCTAGGTTTATATTTGAAGGTGAACAGTGGAGGGGAGACATGTGAAAGTTAGGGATAGATGGAAAGGGAGTTGGAAAAAGAAAATTGTTTTTCATATGTGTATGAATTCATGTCTCTGTAGATAAAATTTTCTTCATATACCTGAAAAGTAAATTTTTTTTTTTAAGGAGGTCAGTTCATTATAGAAATCTGAATCTTAGGGTTTATGTGTGAAGAATGTTTAAGGTTAGGAATGGGTGAAAGCAGCTGGGAAAAGACAAATATTCTTTACCTGTAATAGAGTTCATATTTCCATGGATAATATACTCTTCATCTATTAAGTTAAAATATAAAAATTTACCCTTTCCTTTCTTAAAGTATAAAATTTTCACTTTTTTCCATATTATCCATTAGGAATATGTAATAAGGAGACCTTTAGTTGAATAGAAGTTAAGAAATAAGTCATAGAATTCATTTTTGCTGGAGAGAGTCATAGGGAAGGCTGACTGGATTTTACTGTAAATTCATGGTTATCAGCCTCAAATAGATTCTTAGTATTGCCTGTCTATCCTACTGTCTTGCTATAATTAACTCCTTCCCTTTTACTCTACGTAAGGAGAACTCTTCTCCTTAGAAGCCATGAGCCAGAAATTCCCTTATTTTCTGAGTTAAGTCTTACTATACTTATTCTGTTCTTTCCATCTTTTATATTGAGATGTTCTTCCTGTTCTGTCTTCTAAGGATACTTTTTTTTTTTAACTCTACACTCTTTTTTTTCAAATACATTTTTATTAGTGTGTATTAGCTGTATTGGGGGATTCATTGTGACTTTTCCATATATGCTTACAATGTGCTTTCTTAGTTAGGTTCCCTCTACATTCTTATATTCAGTTTCCCTTTCTTAACTTAATCCTTCTCAATGACCTTCTGTTGAACAAACTACTTAGTTTTAGATTTTCAGAAACATTACAAAGATAATGACTTTGTAACTGAAAAGGTGACTTTTCAGATACCTTTGTTATTAATATTTAATATTTACTTTAGTACATTTGTCACAACTGAGGAACTACCATTGGTCCATCGCTGTTAACTAAACTACATTTTTTTTCAAATTTTGATAGCTTTTCGTTAATACCCTTATTCTGTTCCAGGAACCCACCAAGGATACCACATTACATTTATTCATCATATCTCATGTTAAAATCTGGTTATTTAATTCGTGAAGTACTGCTGTTTAATAGGCATTTGTGGTTGATAAGAAATGAAATATTCTCTTAATATAACTGTTAGTAGAACAGCCTATATGCAGATAGTCAGAATTCATCACAGCTTCATTGCACTTACAATAATGGCATACCCAGTAGAAGTTTTATGAAATTTAAATGCAACACTTGTAAAATGAGGTTTATGTGAAAATTTGTCTCATTAAAATTATAGATTATGTACATTTTAAGAGTTTACTCTTTCTCAGTGAGTGTTTAGAATCTTTATTCCTTGGCTTTACTAATATAGATCAAATGTAGTCATCTAGGATATAATGGTAGGTGTGAAAACAGAGTAGCAACTCATGATATTTCTCAAAATAATAAACATGGGGTATGGAAATAAGGTTCAAAGTCCATACACAACTTACTTTTGGTATCTTAAGTATAGGATTAGGGAGTATCATGAGGATGGTAACAACAATTTTTGTAAGTAGAATAGAGGCTGTCAATCTCTTTTCTGCCCCCACATGTCTAAGGGATAAAACCCATTGCTGTCAGTTACAGTAACACAGTAATTCTTGAGAGGGATGTGGATTTGAAAAGAACCTCCCTCTGCCCCCATTGTTTCTCATATAAATACTCTTATTTAACATGGCATCTATAGAACTTCTGCATATACTTCACCTATTTTAAAGCCAAATAACAACTGCATATCTAGTATGTTAACACATCTTTATAACTGTAATGCAGTAATTATGTTGCTAGATCCAAAGTAAGCTAGAAATCTTTCATAATGCTTGCTACCACTTTCAAGTTAAGCTAAGTTATTAGGAGGACCTTATATAAGTTATGATTTATTTTTTATACATTATTTTAAATATTATTGTGCTTTTGCTAGAGGAGCAATCTGAACAAGACTTGCTTGAGGCTACCAAAAAGTGAGGGATTTTCTTGAAGCAATGAAGCCAAAAAGTGAAAGATTTTCTTAGAACAATGAAATAGCAGGAAAAAAAAAGATCTTCACTTGTCTGGAAATTAAGGGAGTTTTCATATTAGATTATAAAGCATATTGTGCCATTTCTAACTTTTAAATGACTTTAATTTTTAAAAATATTCTAAGGTAATGTAGAATTCAGTCTAGATCATAAACTCATGAAAGTGGGTATCCTATCTGTCTTCTTCATTGTATGTTTAGCACCTAGCATTGTGCTTGGTAAAAGTCGAATAAATGAGCTTTGTCCTCTGTCCTTGAATAATTTCTTTAGGAGAATCTTGTCATGTTCAGCAGATAAAACATTTAAAGATTCAGTAAGTGCTGTTTGGATGTAATCATTAAATCCTTAAGATTGAAATTATTAAAATGGGGGATGGGCAATATGCTTTATTCTTTGAATTAGTATCTAACTAGCTCACTAGTTAACTCTGCCTTTTCTTTGAGTTCTCTTCCTGCTTGCATGGGTGGAATTCAGTAGTCTGTTTATTTTATAAAAGATTATCAATTTTTTTAACTTCATAATTACAGGATAATATTTATTTTGTAGATATATATTTGATTGGCACATAATTATGTATATTAAGTACAGTGTGATATTTCAATACATGCATACAATGTGTAATGATCTGAGTAATTGACATCTGTCATTTAAAATGTTTGTTATTTTTATGTGAGAAATATTCAGAATCTTCTCTACTGGCTGTTTTGAAAAGTGCAATTAATTACTCCAACCCATCATTATTTTAGTTTTCTAAAACAGATTTTCAGCATATTTTAATAATGTCACTAAATTTCATTCTTTGAAAAATGATTCTTTGGAATGTTAAATTTTTGATGCATCCCTTACATTTTGTTCATTATTTATTGGATATGATATAGTAATCTCTAAAACATTTTTGACTTTACAGCCATTAATTTGTAGTCAATAGTACACTTACAAAACTTTAAAGCAAACCTCAACATTTTTGTCATGGTCACCGTTGGACCAAAATAAGTTGACTTATTTTAAGGGCATACTGTTAATCATTAGAAAAAAATGAGTAAGGAAATTTCCCTAACTCTGAGAAGAAAAAGTTCCTAGCTTACAGTCATTTTCCCATGTACCTTTCGTTGTTGACATTTTAATTTTTTTCAGGAATATTCATTATTTTGATCATGCTAGTTTCCATTTATTTAGTGCAGTGGGGTTTTTTTTTCTCCCTCTGTAAAGGATGCCAACAGGACTTAAAATTTATGGCAGAAATACAAATTCTGGATTTGTGAATTTAAACACCTGTATGCCAAGGTCATAGTTCTGTGACCTTGGCAATTAGCTTGCAGAATCAGACTGTGTCATGTACCAGATGGTGGGCTGTTTACCATATTTTCCATAGTGAAATTTAATACCTCACTTTTATTTGGGAAGTGTTGTCTATTATAATTTTATTATTCTGTACAGTTTTGATAGTAGAAAGCAAGGACTTAATACTGAGTCATGTAGAAGATAATACCAAGTAGATGTTATATAAACCTTATTTTTCTAATTTAATTTTTTCATGACATACATCATATACATGTACAAAAGAGAGAGAGAACAAGTATGAAAGAGAGTACAGTTTTTCAGTCACACATGTCACCTGTGACCAAAGTTTTAGTTTACCAAAACTGAATTAGGTACTGTTGGATATGTGATTTTTTTCCATGTGGAAATAATGATACATATATCATTGTGTTAAGACAGAAGTCTTAAAACAAAATGCTCATAGTAGAATATTAGCTAATTATATATAAAGTAGGTCAACAGTTTTACATATGAACTTTGATGTTTTTGAACCTTTTAATGTTTCACCATGAGGAATGTTTTAAAACTTGTTAGATGTTTAACAACTCATTGTAGAGTTTTTCTATTATTAGACACTCTTGAGGAGGAGAATTTTAGAAGTTGAGGGTAGAACATTGAAATGTTATGACTAAATGCTAAAATTATAATTGTTTGCTTTCAGTCAGAAATTGGGTTTGGGAAAATGGAAACCTATATCAAATTGGAAAAGCTTGGAGAGGTGAGTAAATACACATTTCAAAAAATAAAAAGACCTTTTTTTTCCTAGTTTGCCATCTAAGCTCTGTTTGTCTACAGTTTTTGCCAACCCTCAAAAAAGATTATAGACAGTTTTGTCTAAAAGATTATATAACTTGTTGTGAAAAGACAACAGAAAATTAGAAGGAATAAACCACTTTAATCCTTGAAATTATCCCATCAGTTTGACAGGAAGTGAGTATTTTTTCAACAGACATGGAATCCTTTATTGAAGCACAAATACTGTGTTTTCTTGGTAGCAAAATAGGCATCTCCTTGTTAGTCTCTGGCAGTGTGCTGTCTATGTTGTCATATGGGAAAATTACATGAGTTCAAACTTGTGAAAAATGAGAATACTATGTTTAGAGAGAAAAACACGTTTCATTGAAGAATAAGGAAATTCTTAAAACTTTGGTTTTCTTGAACTTGCTTCTATAGTAGTACTACTAATTTAGAAACAACCTACCTTATTCAATAAAAAAAAGGTAAAGAAAATAATAGATTTATTTAATAAGGATGCTTTCAGGATGCTAATTTTTAAAACAAAGGTTAATGTACAAATATTCTGAAAATTCTGGAAACATTGGTAAAATTTTTTTGTGATTTAATAATGTAATCATGTTTTCATTAAGTGTGCTTAGTGTCACCCACCATTGGTTGGTTAAGCACTTTTAATTTTAAAACTGTTGATCCAATTGTTAATCTGAAACAATGCACAAAAAGCAAGTTGAATACTGTTACTTTTATACTTTTGAATCACTGCATATGGTACTGAAAGTTTTCTTTGCTATAAGAAAAATTAATGCTGATCACTGAAATTTTCTAGGCAAGATAGAATTTAATATGCTTAGAAGTTAGAAATTCAGTTAGGGGTCTCTTTATTATATAGATGGTGTTAGATAGACTCATGATGTTTCTTATGTGTCTTTCAAAAATATATTTTATAGGGCACATATGCAACAGTATATAAAGGAAGAAGTAAATTGACAGAGAATTTGGTGGCATTAAAAGAGATCCGATTGGAACATGAAGAAGGTGCACCCTGTACAGCTATAAGAGAAGGTATAATATTTTTGTAGAGCCTTTTAAAACCAAACCCATATCAGAGTATATTTTTAATAAATAAAAGAACTTAGATAAAGAAATAATAAGTGACTTGGAAGATATAAGATATAATTAGACCTTAAGAAAGTTAACTTTTAAAATCAAAATATTCAATTAAAAGGAATTTTATTATTGTATATTTTATAATGTAGTAGTATGAACTCATTAAAAATCACTGAACTAGCAAATATTTGACCTAGGGAAATGGTATATATTGGTACATGGTAACTGTAAGTTAGCTGCATAAATTAATGTAAATATTTATATCATGTATCATTTTATATAAAAAGTTGGATTATTCAGAAATGGTTTGAGGCCACTGATTAATGTGGATAAAGAAAAGGTACCTTGTACTTTATATCTAAATTACAGAAAAAAATTAACATTACAGAAAAAAATCAGAAGATTAAGAATTTGTAATTTTGGAGATAATTTTACATATTATAATGCCAAATTTAAAACCATAACGGAAAAAGTATACTACCAGTCCCCTTGGTGAATTGCTGTTTTAAACTTAGAAGAATTTTATATATGCCAAAATTACTTCAGGTTGTTATAAAGACTGACTACCACAGGCTAAGTAACTGACTTTCTGTTCTGTTTTTCAGTTTCACTATTAAAGGATTTAAAACATGCAAATATAGTAACCTTACATGACATTGTTCACACAGATAAGTCTTTGACTCTGGTCTTTGAATATCTGGTAAGCATTTATAAAAATTCTGTGTTTGATTTTGTTTTCATAAAATAGCAAATTGGACCTTTTAACAGCCTCAGGGATGTTACTGTTTAGTTACTGGTATTTAATTAAATTATATGTATGGTGCATCTTGTACTTTTTTCCGTTGAAAAACGACTTTTTAAAAATTAAATGTGACTAAGTGAATCAGCCATGCATTCTGAAAACTGTGCATTTCATGGTAAATACTGGTTTTTGGTTTTTCAGGATAAAGACCTGAAACAGTACATGGATGACTGTGGTAACATCATGAGCATGCACAACGTAAAGGTGTGTTTCAGTGATTTTAAACTCCACCTAACGCACGGTGAACTACACTGCGCCGCGAAATATGCCAGCCTCGTAACCATGCCTCAGTATTTTCCACTTGCTATGTTAAATAGATCGTTTTCTTCCGAGCGTATTTATTCAGTTTCTATGTACTGTAGCTTTCTTAGGATCAGATCATTTTGTAGAATCACTTCTTCATTTTAAAAGTCCTCTAAAAATTACTTTTGACATTTTCTTTCACATTTCAATTAATTCTCCTACATGCAAAATGCATATACAAGTATATTCTGTTTTAAAACAAAAAACATTTAAAATAAATTTAAATTATGGATGTATTCTGTGAAAGAACTCCTTCCTCTAAATAATGAAATCCCCTAATATATTTAAGATGTTATTTAATTATAATATAACAATTTTTCAGGGGTCTAATCTAATACGTTTATGGATATCATGAATGCCATGCTAAAAATACATGTCTATGAATTCAAGTAATACAGGAGAAGTTTGCTGTTATAATCATTGTCACATGAAACCCAGAAGTTATTAGTTGAGTAAAAGCATTTGGTATTGTGTTCACCATAGATTTCTCTCACCTGAGTGGTACACTTCAAAGATATATTTATCCAAACTCAGTCAGCAGTTTATCAGGAAATATTTTGGAAATAGGCTGTCCCATCTGTATATTAGAAACATTTCTAATTCTCTAGGTAGTAACTTTAAACTTTTTCTTTTAAATAGTAAGTGTGGTGGATATAAAGAAGAGCCAGTTTCTGTTACTAAAAGAAAGCTCAGAACATATGGATAACACATTGCTAAGAATTTTAGATCAGGGCTTTGAATGTATTTCTATATACATTCTACAATGATTGTTTTTACTGTATTTTACATTTACTTTTGCATGGTGTTATGAATGTCATTTGTATGTGCCTTTCTGGATTTAAAATTTTTCCCCCTGTGTTTATATTAGTGACAATTTGGAAAGAAAATAAAATCCCTAATTATCACAATTTGACAAGGCTTGAGAAGTTTATATCTTTTAAGTCAGTTCTACATAGCTAGAAGTTAGAAAGCATTATTCGTCAGAATTGCATTATATTTTCCAAGCATACAGTGCAACAGGGATATATTGAAATATTAATTTTATACTTTTGTTCACATAAATATGTAGAATCTACAGACTTGACTGCTTTTAATTTACTCATGTCATTCATTCGTCTGCTGCTTTGGCTTATTCTTATGTTCTGATGGCCTGTTTTCACCTAGAAGTGAACTGAAGGTATCTGAATCCTTGGTACTTGAGGTGCATTTTTTGCTAACCCCAAAGAATTAAGATGTGTTCAACATCCTTCTTTCCACCAAAATCCACAAAAAAAAAAAAAACCCTCTATCGTTAGCCTTACAGGAGTTGCTTTTTTCAGAATTTTTCAGAGCACTATTATACCATTGCCCCTTTCTGAAGCACAGCATATTTTGAAGAGTGAGTAGGAGTTGTTGAAACTAAAGTACCCAGGAGGTGGATGATGGAAGATGGTTAGATTATTTTTATGTGAAGTAATTTACCAGAGCTATACAGTATTACTCTTTGATACCATAGGTTTTCTATAAAGCTATCAATACTGATGCCTTATTTTAAAGATATTGCCCCAAATCAGTATTGTTTGTTTGTGATTATGTGTTTGTATTTTGCAAGAAGGAAAATAAATGGCAGGAGTTGGATAGTTGTTATGGCAGAATTTTATAATCAAACTTGTAAGCCTTTGTATGCCTATAAATTTGTAAGGATATGTTTATTATTTTTCTCTAATAACTGAAATGTTACTACTAAGGAAAATTTTATTTATAGTATTTATTTTTATAGATATTATTAGTCTAAAAATTAGGTGGATACTTCAAATAACTATAAAATTCAGAAAACAGCTATAAAAGGAAAAGGCTTTGTCCTAAATGGATATAATTGCTTGCTTTTTCTTTTACTATTCTAGATTAGTTACTTTTTTGCTTAGCATAATTTATGCTCATACCAAAGTATGTCTCTTTTTCTATAAGACTAATTTTCATTTATTTGTTCTGTAGCTGTTTTTATACCAAATTCTACGAGGTTTGGCATATTGTCATAGAAGAAAGGTGTTGCATCGAGACTTGAAACCACAGAACCTCCTCATTAATGAAAAAGGAGAATTAAAGCTAGCAGATTTCGGTATGGAATGATGAGATGTTTAAAAATACTTCCAGGTGGCTAAGTTTAAAAGAACAACCATTGTCACATTGTGTCATCACTTTTATGTGAGTTTGGAAATTGTAGCCCACAGAATAAGATACTTGACAGAATTTTGGTGGGTAGTTTAAATTCTAAAGTCATCGGTTTTCAGTTACATCCATAGACACCTAGGGCTCCTGAGACTCTTTCAGGGTCTTCTAAAGGCAAAATACATCATCAAAATTACATTAAGCATTATTTGCCTTTTTCATTGTGATGTTATTTCCACTGATGATCCAAAAGCAGTTAGAGGTAAACCTACTATTTTCTTAGTATATGACAAGGCAGTGCCACCAAAGTATATCATTATATTCTTTACCACTACACATTTTTAGGCAAAAAAATGTCAGTATACTTAACAAGGTATTTGATGCAGCAGTAAAATTTGTTAATTTTATTAAATCTCTGTTCCTGAGTATAAGACTTTTTTGTGATAAAAATAACATATAAAACCCATTTATTGCATAAAGAAATACTGTAGTTACCTCAGGGAAAAATGTTCATGTGATTATTTGGGTGCAAATTGAACTAGCTCTCCCCCACCCCCCCTTTTGTTTGCCAAGGAACACAATTTTTATTTGAAAAAAATGGTTTTTCAGACTTACATGTTTGGCAGACATTTTCTTGAAAATGAATGAAGACAGATTGATTTTAAGAAAAACAACTAAAAGTATTTTTTGCCAGTAGTAAAACTCAAGTTTTTAGACAAGAAAAAAGTAGATTTTGAGAGTTTAGATCTGCTACTTTGAGCTTAATAGCTTCCCAATACGTAGAGACTTTTCTGATGAGATCAGTGGTGATACTAACATAATTTTTTGATATTCTGACGAAGTATATAAATACTTGTAATATGTAATTCAAAGAATCAGTATTTTCCAAATTACCAATGCATAGTATAGAATCATGCATGGGTAAAGATCCATTTAAAGTATAAGATAGAACAATGAATTTTAACAGAAGTGTAAGAACTTCATCGATGTAATTGCAGTTGCCACATAACTTAAAAAAATACACATTCTAACATATCAAAGAAGACTATCCTTATTTTTTTTTTTTTTATTGGTGGCACTGGGGTTTGAACTCAGGACCTCACACTTGCTAGGCAGGTGCTCTACCGCTTGAGCCACTCCACCAGCCCTAAGACTATCCATATTTATAGGAAAAGGTCTCTTTGTTTTTTTTTTGAGGTTCTGGGGCTTGAACTGAAGGTGTTTACCTTGAGCCACTCCACCAGCCCAATGTTTTGCAGTATGGTTTTTTCAAGATAGGGTCTTGTGAATTATTTACCACAGCTGGCTTCAAAGTGCAACCTTCCTGATCTCTGCCTAGGATCACAGTACCCGGCTTCCTCTTTCAACTTCTTATCTGTGGGAGATTGAGTCTCTTGATATATAACAATATGTATTTGATATGCTGTGATACATATATTGTGATAGATATATCAAAGCAACATATCACAACAGATTGAATGCAGAAACAAATGTGGAGTCCAGCTGTCTTCTATTAAAGTAGACTGTTTAATGTAAAACAAAGCCAATCTTACTAATTTTTGTTTTGATTAAAAAATATTTTTCATAGAAATATTGCTCATGCTAGCGTATGACTGGTATTTTTAATGAATAAATATTTTTAAACTTTTCTTAAATTTTAACTTAATAAATGTAAATATCAGTAATAATCTATACAAATAAAAGTACTTTGGGCCCTTAATAATTTTTAAAAGTATAAGATTCCTTCCAAGATCATTGAGTTCAGAAGCCACATCTGAAAAGGGTTCACTTAATATGCAAGCCACTGTTGTCTCTTTTTTATTATATGCTCAGTAATTTAGCTGGTAGCGATTTATCTGTATCCCTTAGCTAATCTGATTTCAAATGATCTGAAAGTAAAATACAATTACATGCTTCTTTTTGCTTCTGGCAAGTAAATTGTTTTTATATTGGAGAAACTTTATAGAGTAACTGAATGTTTTGTATACATACCCTCAGAGTTTGAATACTCTAAAAAGAACTTGTTTTTTAAAAGCAGTTTTCTATATCTACCATTTATAATTTTTCATAAATTATGATAGTTTTGCTTTTGGGACTTTCATTAAATTTCATAAATATGAGTTTCTGATATTATACTATTATCAACAGACTAAAAATTCATTATTATTAAATGGCAAAATGTTCTGGCAATTCCTATACTTTTGTTCACTTAATACTTCCCTTTGTTTGAAAGGTAAATTTTCATTTGTATTCCTTAAAAAGGAAATGAGTGAGCCACATATGTTTAAATGAGAAGTTTAAGTTGTTTGCATAAGCTTACATATATCATACAGTTGGGACGGCATAGTTTATGTTGTTATTTCCCTTATAATTGACCCCATCCTCCTCTCTCCTCCTCTTTCTTTGCCAAGCTGCATTTTCTGCTCTTTGCCCTAATTTCAAAATGAATGTCAGTGGCAGGGAAACCCTGAGTAGACATTCACAATGCAATAGGAATGTCAAGGGCCATTAAAAAATCTCCTTTTATCCAGGAAAACTAGGAGTACTTCAAATTTTGCTCCTACTCCTACAAAGAAAACCAAGCAAATATTATCTTCCCATAGGCCAAAAAGAGGTTCTGATTAGTCTGTGAGATAATATAATCAACTTGTCTATCTTGCTGTAATTGTTGATATTTTTGTTGATTGTATAATAAATAATACATATGTTTTCAAGTAATGGGAATCCTTGAACTTTGAGTTTGTATAAGTTATTTTGTTTTTGTTTTTGCCTTGGGGATCAATTCCAGGGCCTTGCACATGGTAAGCAGGTGCTCTGTACCAGTGAGCTATGTCTTCAAACCCTTAAATTGTTCTTGATCCTTTTGAAAATTTTACCCATTTCCTGTGGTCAATAAAATTCAGAGGTCTAGGAACTTCTAATATAAATGGACATCTTCATGAACGATAGAAAATGGCTTGTATGACACTGTATCACATTTAGTTAATTTGGGAGAAATTGTTTATTCCATTTCATGCCAGTACTGAAATTCTGACTGTGAAGCAGGTGCTTATTTTGTTTTTTAGACAAGCATTTTAGTTCAGATTTTTTTTGAGGAGAGTAAGGCACTGAGGAAACTATAGCGGGCAGTTTGCCTTGATGGTGTAAGTTAATAGCATAAGCAAGTTATAGCCTTGTCCTTTGTCTCCATATAACCCATTCTGAATATTGGGAAAAAAAATCAGAAAGCTACCCTCCATTTTGCTAATTACCAAAATTTATAGAAAAAGAATGTGTTAGACTTACTCTAACAAGTTGGGATGCAAGAATACAATTTGTAATTAAATATAAATGTCAAGATTGTTGCAGTTACACCTATTAGCCATTATAGTAAACTAAAATGGTGTGACTATTGCCTAATTATGTAAATTTTTGATATCATTTATGTGATTTAATACAATTTAATGAAGTTTTAAGTTACATTTTTCTTGATATTTTGACCTACAAAAAGTTACATATAACAACAATCTCAGTGTAAACTCTCTTGTTACTTGAAATAAAACATATGATAAAAATATATATTCAGATTGCTTTTAAAGTTGCTTCTTCAGGTGGTGGGAATTTAGAGGCTTAGCAGTAATGACTCTTGTGCTAGTAACAAAGATAAGGCTGTAAACTCTAGCCTTTACTTCCAGATAATCCATATTAAATTGACAAAGAAATGGCAAATGTTTTGCATTGTTCACAGCAGTTAATAATATTCAAAAGCAGTGAGGTCTGCCTTATCCTGAAATTATCTGTATGACTTAAAACCTGAAAAGAGGGTACAGAGAACATTGTAACTTGTTCCTTAGAAATGGTCACCAAATTATTTCCATAAGAAAATTGTCAGTGAAATTCAGCTGCATCATAGACCAAGGACTTGAGGGTTTTTAATAAATGGTATAGCAAATGAATGTTGGAATCAGCTTAAAAGTGAAATTGTATCTTAACTGTCATTGGCCTATTCTGGATTGACTTTACTGAGGAAATAATTTAGACATCATGACTCATGAACAAAAGGAAATCATCTTAAGTTTAGATTAACCTAGACACTGTACCAGGTACATTCACACACATATAAGTAAGCTTAATCTGTACAATTAATTATACTTAATTAAATTACAAAAGGCTTAACTGGCCCAAGACTACATGCACTCAGAAAAATTTGTAAAAGTAATTTTGTTGAAGTTAAGGAATAGCCATCTCCATACATCCTTTTGAATGCAGCCATGGTAAGAATAGGAGCCGAGAAATCCATTATACTCTTAATGGATCTCAATATATTTAATTCTTTGTTTTCTTTTCCCTATAAAGGATTAGCCAGAGCCAAGTCAGTTCCCACAAAAACCTACTCAAATGAAGTTGTCACACTGTGGTATCGGCCACCTGATGTACTTCTTGGTTCCTCAGAGTATTCAACTCAGATTGACATGTGGTAAATATATACAGATGTTATTGCCATTTCTGATTTTGAAAGAGGGTAGCAGTTAACACAGCATACTGATAGGTATTGATTTTCAAGGAGGTATTATTTTAAAGAGCTACAGTATAAATGGTGATTAAGAGTTCTGGTGTGGGAGTAAGACTACTAGGTTTAAACATCAGTTCTACCACTTTTAACTATATAATAATTTTGTCCAAACTACTGACCTGTGCTTTAGTTTCCTCATTTAAGGAGATGGGAAGAGTAGCACTAACTAAAGTACTATAGATACAGAGTTCATACATTAAAAAAAAAAAAAACACTCAGAAGAGTATCTGTCACATTGTAATTTAAAACAAAAATTTTTACTATCATTTAACGTACCAAAATCTAACCTAATTTAATCTGAAAATAATCAGAATATTGTAGCCACCTTGCTCACACACCACTTTTCTCGTGACTCTCCTCTTCCGAAGCACCTTTATTGTTAATCATTCATTATCTATAGGATAAAGTATTCTTCCTCAATCTGATGCTTAAGGATTTCCCTAAGATAAACTACCATGTTTCAGATTATTTTTCAATGTCAGTATTCCCTTTTAGCCAAATTCACTGTACCCTCAAAATAGTCTATGTTCTCCCACCTTTACTCTTGGGGTTCATGCCATTCCATCCATAAGGTATGCCTGTTGTCCTTCTTTAATGCATTGCCATACCTAGTAACTTTCAGAACACAGCTTTCCATAAATCCTTTCCTGAATACCAACCCTAGTCTTTGGTGGCAATTCTTTCATCTGAACTGTAGTCCATTTACTGTGTATACTTTTTAGCAGTGATAAGTCATCTATTTACTCCTTTTTTTGGTCTATTTTGTAGGACATTTTTCTCTTTAAAAATTTGGTAAAATATTTACTATTTTAACCAACTTTAAGTGTGTAGTTCTGAGACAATTAAGCATTTACATTTTGTACAACTATCTCTATCATCCATCTTCAGAACATTTTTCATCTTTCAAAACGGAGATTCTATATCCATTAACAGCAACATCTCCTTGTTCTACCCACTTCTCTGGTCCCTGGCAATCAGTATTACACCTTTTTTTTTTTTGACCTGGGGTTTGAACTCAGGGCCTCATGCTTGCTAGGAGATGCTCTGCCACTTGAGCCACACCTTCATTCTGCCTTTATGTCTATTAATTTGACTATTCCAACTACCTTGCATAAGTGTAGTCACAGTATTGTCTTATTTCAGCACATTTTGCTTAGATAATGCCTTCAAGGTTTATAATGTCATGTGTCACAAATTCCTTCCTTTATAAGGTTGAACATTGTGTGTATATGCCATATTTTGTTTGCCCATTTGTCCATTGGTGGGTACTTGAGTTTCTTCCATCTTTTAGCTATTATAAACAATGCTGCTATGATCATGGGTATACAAATCAAGACCCTTCTTTCAGCTCTTCTGGGTATATACCTAGGAGTACAGTAATTCTGTTTTTAATTTTTTGAGTAACCACCACATTGTTTTTCATAGCAGTTGTCATTTTGCTCTATATAGCATTTTAATATGTAAAATTAAATTTTATTTAGATTTGCCAGATTTATTAGGTTGTAAGCCTTTTGATGACAGTACTGTTTTATTTGTATGCACACAAGATGTATACAAGTATATATACTAGATGTCAGTGCTTATTCATTGAGCTTCATTTCCTTCTCTTATGCATACACACATAAACAAATATACCTCACCCTGAACCTACATATTCTATCTTCCTGCACCAAAAAGTTTTGAATCATTTTGCTTCTCTGTCCATGTTACCCACTGTTTTAGTACCACCATCTCCCAGATTACCATAATAGTCTCATGAATTGGTTTTTTTCCTTCCTGTCTTGTCCATTTCAGTCCATGGTCCACATTGTGGCTCGTATAATGGTTTTATGAGATAATAATTCAAGCACTTACAGTTTCAAATACTATTGGCTATTGTGTCAGTCTTTGAGGAATATGCAAAGGAAAGCTAGACATTTTAAGTGGGAAAACTGAATTAGTAATATGGAATAAGTTGAGACTGAGTAAATATTAGCAAATTAGTTGGCTGGGAATTTTATAAAGAGGTTTTCTAATGGGCTAGTACAAAACTCTCCAGAGAGGCAGTCTTAAGGAAAGAATTCTTGTGCTTCATAATATGCAAATGGTTTGCTCATTTTTTTTTTTTTTTATGATGTATTTTAAAGGGGTGTTGGTTGCATTTTCTTTGAGATGGCTTCTGGAAGACCTCTATTTCCAGGCTCGACTGTGGAAGATGAGCTGCACTTAATTTTCCGACTACTAGGTAATAGAAAAAAATCTTTTTCCAGTGATTTACACCAGCAGTTGACTAGAAGTTCCAAGTCAGCCCTGGCAAAGTTAGTGAGACACCATCTTGAAAACAGAATACAAACAAAATAGGGGCATGGCTCAAGAGGTAGAGCAGTTGCTTAGCATATGTGTAGTGCTGGCGGTGGGGAGATTATCTCTATAACATACCCAGCTATTATGTATAAGAACTACAATTGGCTTATTTATTATAAAGATCTCTTTTTGGGGGAGGGTGCTGGAGTTTGAACTCAGAGCCTCCTACCATTTCAGACACACCTCCAGTTCTTTAGCTTTTAGTGTTTTTGGAATAGGGTCTTGTTTTTTTTTTTGCCTGAGCTGTCTTGGACCACAATCTTTCTACCTTTGCCTTCCAGTTAGCTGGGATTACAGGCTTGTACTAATACACCGGCTTGTTTTGAGACAGGGTCTTGCTGACTTTTTTGCCTGGGGTAGCCTTGAACCTCCATCCTCCTTCCTAGGTAGCTTCTTTTCATTTACATAGTTTTATCTTTGCAATCAAGATTTTATGAAAGGAGGAAATATTGCTGAAAATCTACTTTCAGCATATTGTTGAGGAATAGTTCTAGCTTAGGTAGTGTCATCTGGATAGAAAAAGAGTAAGGTAGCACCATATTTGTGACATCATTATATAGTTCAAAAGAATCCATACATATTTACAACTTATAGCATTTTAATTTCAGTTAAAATAGTTAAGTCATTTAAGGCTAGTGATGTGACCCAGTGTTTGAGTGCTTGCCTAGAATACACAAGGCCTTGGATTCCATCCCTAACACTACAAAGAAATAATCATCTAAATATAAATTGTTCTCTTAAGACATTTTTTAGTTATGTCTATATATGTCTGTATGTACATTTAAAATATATGTGAATTTTTCCATATACTTATAAGTATATAAATTTATTTTTTTAATTCAGGAACTCCGTCTCAGGAAACCTGGCCAGGTGTTTCTTCAAATGATGAATTCAAGAACTACAATTTTCCAAAATATAAACCACAGCCTCTAATTAATCATGCTCCCAGGTATTTTTTTCTTCCTTTCAATCTTTTGAGTATTTGCCACAGTAAATGTTCAGGACATGGAGATAATAATACACACTATTCTTAAATATTTTGAGATTTAATTTAAACTTCTCCCTTTGGCATATTAATTTTATAATTCAGTGACTAAGAATCATCAAAGTATATATAGAATTGATCTGTAAATGAAATTAACATAGAGTGCATGTATTATAATTCTGGAGTTTATGTAGATAGATCCATTTCCCAGAAAGAAGCCATTGATTATAAAGATCATAATAAAATTTGTTTTGCTTTCTACAGAACTGCTGTAACAGAAACCTGTGTTACAAGTAAAATCTTGAGTCTGACACTAAATAACCCATCAACATTTTGGTCAGTGTTACTGTCATAATTTGTGTTTCTGACCCCTCAACAAAATACAATGTCCTAAATATTAGCAATTCAGTTAAAAGTTGTTTTCACACCTACCCCCAGATCAAAGACTCCCATTAAAATTTGAGTCAGAATATTTTTACTTGTAGAATGTATTGTATTTGTGGGAAGTAACACAGAACATCTAACCCTAACCCCTTTGACTGCATTTTTCCATCTTTCGTTAAAAAAAATTTTTTTAAGCACCAAAATACCAAATAAGGACATTGTCTGTTTTAATCAAAAGCCAGTCACATTGTTTACAACATAACACACTTGATCGGCTTCCATTTATTCTGAAGTGAGGGAAGGAATTGCAAAGCAGCTCTGACACTAAAAATATTGTAAAAGTATATGAGTTTGGGTTCTTATTGTTACTATAGCAACTGATATCATTCTCAACTAGACTTTCTTAGAAAGAATAATAATATGTTGAACTTTTTTGTGTCTCTGTAAACTAGTGTAAAGTCGTATTTTTTATCATTTATATAGTGCTTGCTGTTGGTAATGTTCAGCGTAGAAGGTTAAAGCTCTTTGTTGAAGCAGATTCTCTATGACCTTAGTACCTAGCCTGTCTGTGCCCAGGGAGCTCTGGATATGTGCCAGAATGACAAACTACAGAGGACTGAAGGAGTCTGGAGATTGTCTAGGCTGCAGCATTCACAGGACCCACTGACAGCTGTCAGGGGAAAATAGTTCTTTATTCATAATTGTACTTTCTGATCAAGAGATTATCCCATTAAAATAATCCCTAACTCTACTACTCCCAGTTAGGTTTATTTCATCACTATAAATAGCTATCATTATAGACTATAGGGTTGATTTTTATAATCCTGTTAGTGAAGTTTTATGACGTTACTGTGCACATTTAAATTAAAAGTAACACCTTTTAATACCCATTGCTGAACAGATTATCCTGTACAAATTTCTTAACTAACTTGTCTCTGTGTTTATCTTGAACCACAGTGGTAACATTTTGGAGTCACTGTCTCTTGTGTTTTCTTACATGATAAAACAATGGTGCTCCTGTGTATTTACCTTCATTGGAACACTAAAAACTGATGCATTACTTAAATTTTACCAGTAATAGAGAATATCTTTTTTGAAATAGAAAGCTGACAAAAAAAATTCTGTAGGTTTAATAAATTTTTCTTGGCTATTGAAAGTATGAATCAAAGCCCAGTTATATATGGTTTGTTCTCAAGTGAATGGCAAGATAAGTCTTCTAAGACTAAAAGCGATTTGAGTCTGTTTGAAGGCAACAGAATAGCTATTTTAGGGCACTTAAATTTAGCAAGTGAAAACATTTAGAAAATAGTTTATCAGAAACATTTCTGTTAGCTAAGATAAAAGAATAAATTGCTATTTGTTTTTTATTTCTAGGTTAGACTCTGAAGGAATTGAGTTGATAACAAAATTTCTTCAGGTAAGTTACATTTTATAATTGTTAAATGGGTAGTTAAGCTTTAATATCCTCATGGATAATGGGATCAATAATACCTCCCTCAAGTATTACTAATGACTATGAAGATTATTTATGGTAGTAGTGATCATGCTTCAGGCACATAAGGCCGTCTTTTCTGTAATTCATGTTCTCTCTTTTTTTTTTTTTTACTTAATGCCTTACATGATGCTCCACCTCCAAATACCACTCATGTTTTCTCCAAAGCAGGAAGGAGAGAGAGGATAAAAGTGGTACCAGACACATTAGCCCTTTTATATATTGAAAGCAAAGGCTTTTGCAAAAACCCATGCAAAGACTTCTTCCCAAGTCTCATTGACCAGAACATTAATTGTAAGAGAGGCTGGGAATTGGGGAGCAAGATTTTCATAATTAACCTAAATTTAGAAGAGTCATGACTCATGAGTCATCTGTCAGAGTTGGGAGCATTAACACCTTGAACAAATCTAGGTTGTATCATTAAGGGCAGTGAGTGTTGATTAAGTAATTAAGAATGTCTGCCATGAAGACATTGGGTACACTTCCACCAATCCTTTGATGTTCTTAAAGAAACATAACAGCAAAGGTTGAATATTTTACTTTTTCCTCAATTTAGATATCATGTAATCTAAAATTTTAAGATCTAGCCGTATTTTAGAGATTTTGGGCTGACATTATTATTGCTACATATCCTCAACAGCAGTTCTCTGCTTCTTCACAGTATGAATCTAAGAAAAGGGTTTCTGCAGAAGAGGCAATGAAACATGTATACTTTCGAAGTCTGGGACCAAGAATACATGCTTTACCAGAAAGTAAGAGAAATTCTAAAGTATTTTTTTCACCCTTTATTTTCATTTGTCCAGGGTTGGGGACAGGAATGGATTAGGAGTTTAGGAGGTGGTTGATTTTTAAGCCTAAAATTTTAGTCTTTTTTTTTTTTTTATAATTAGATCATAATTTCTTGAAGGTTAGTTTTTTAATTTTTTTTTTATTGTTTTAATTTTTTGTAACATTGAGCATATTACTATTATGTAGGAAACCAATAATATTTAGGTATGAGTCCCTAATTTTATTGGACTTAAGTTGGAAATAGGCCATCTAATAATGTCATCCTAAAAGCTAATCTAGCTTCAATTCAGTTCTCAAAAGTAGATTTCTATAGATTAGTGAAGCACAATCAAAACATAAGATTGTTTCCTCATGAACATACATTTCCTTCCTAAGATAGAAAGATGATTTTCCTTTCATATGGTCACTCTGACTTTACTATCCCCATGACAAGGGGTAAGTATCTTAACAGAGACACTAAAATAACAGATTTCCCATGCCCGAGGTGACTCTAATCTTGTTCAAAAGAATTTTTTCATTTATTAGAAGAATATTTGGAAATTAGAATATTTTGGAATTCAGCCATGAAAAGCTTTCATGAATTTCCCATTCTCATTTGCTACATAGTACTGATCCATTGAGAATTATTTAGCAGTCAGTGACCAAGCTAGTTGGAATAAAAAATTCTTAAGCGTTTTCACTTAGAATTTATTGAATATTTTTAAATGAAAGACGGCTTTCTGACAGATTAGAGATGAAAGATGAACTAACAAGCATTTTTTTAAAAAGATAATATTTACCTTTCATTACTAATACCAAGTTTCAGTTTGAGATAGGTAGTTATGATTCTCTATTTTCTATTCTTCACTAAAAATCCAAAGACAGTTTGAGGACCTGTTACCTTCATGCCATCATAAGACAGAATAAGAACTTAGTAATATGTTTTTGTTTGTTTGTTTTGTGGTACTAGGGCTTGAACTCAGGGCCTATACCTAAGTCACTCAGCCCTTTTTTTGGGTTGGATTTTTTCAAGATAGGGCCTCTCGAAGTATTTTGCCCAAGCTGGCTTCGAATCGTGATCCTCCTGATCTCTGCCTTCTGAAGAACCTAGTAATATGTTTTGATTAAGTCTGCCAACCCCAGTAAATCCTGTTGCAGACGGTGTATATTTTTGTCAGCGAAACACCTACTTGCATCATGCCTTAAAGCAGAATTGGGGGAAGAAAAGTACTAAAGGGCAGTTAATTCACTTGGTTTCTCCTCAAAACATTGAGACAAATAGGGAAATCTAACAGGCTTATAAGCTTCTAAATATATATAAATGTTTTATGTTGAATCATTATATGCTTTTTAAACATTTCTCTAAAATGGGTGGTATTTGTTTTTAATAATGTTAGACCTTCTTCACCTGATAATTTTTGTCTGTGCATTTTAGGCGTATCAATATTCAGTTTGAAAGAGATTCAGTTGCAAAAGGACCCGGGTTTTCGAAACTCTTCTTATCCAGAGACAGGTGTGTTTGTCATAAACCATTTCACATGTCGATCATGAATTTTTGCGTGTAACCAAGCTTTTGGTTTATAAATTGATCAGTAAAATTATTGATGTAAAAACCAATGTACAGTACATTCCACAACTGTGTATGTTTAGCATTGCACATACTCACTTTTCTGTATGATGTGGGCAGCTCAGTAAATCTTCAGAGAGAAATCTGATTCAGTCAAGTCAGGGATCCTGAAAGCTGCAGATGGCACAAAGACCTTTTACAAGTGACCTGGCTTGACCACTGCACACGCCATCCCTGGTACCTGAGGCAGAAGACACATCTTGTGCTTCCCTAGTCATCAGGTTCATCACTTCGAAGCATAGAAGCTGTAGACTGACCCCATCAACAAAAGGGTCGTTTAAGACAGTGCTGACCACTTTTACCGTGGAATATTAGCTTTTGCTGGTGGGAACATTAGCTTCCTAGAGTCACCAAATACTATATGTGGGATAAAGCTGAACCTTGAACTGCCTCATAAAATGACTTTATATTTTAGGACATGCGAAGAACAGAAGACAGAGCATGCTCTTTTAAGTCTGATAACATGGTTTCAAGCCCAGCCCCCAGCCTTTCTTATCAATCAAGGACTCAAATCTGAAGGCACTTATTTCTTTTGGTGGACTTGGAATCTCCGTATGTCTGCACTGTCCTCTTCACAGTGGAGTCTTTTTATTTCAGACTTACAGATTGTTTTTATATTTGTTGTCACAGTGTGACAATTTTTTTGTACAGTGGGTTTTAAAGTCTTCTCTGCCATTAGAGCCAGTAGGTTACAGCTATTGATGTAACTGTAGCTGCAATTTTTGTGCAGGACTGAGAAACACAGTGCATTATTTATTGCGGAATCATTGCTGCTAAATAACTACTGTCTGTTTATTTAACACAACAGTTGAATGCCCGAAGAAGTTACAGTGGCTTTATTATATGTGAATGCATCTGTTTCTCCTCATGAATTGTTTTACTGCTGCATTTTTTTGTTTGTTTGTTTTTAAAATTAAACTGCAGTGTTTCCTGGAATGTATATTTAGCTTTGCTTAAAAGTAAAATAAGTGAGCCATCTTGAACACTCTAAGTTCGTGCTACATAATTTCTTTTTGAACATTGGCAAATAGAGTAGCTAAGAGATGATAAAATGCATCATGTTTAGAGAAGCATGTGATGCCATTGATTGAAGCAAGTGAATACCTGTCAGTTTGGGGTTCTCACCTTAGACACAAATAAATTAAAGCACCAAAATTATTTATTTTTACCTGTTCCTCATTTTAGAAATGTCTACTGCTTATTGCTGGATATTTGTATACTAATACACTTAATTAACTATTTTACATTGTGCTTTAATTTAGTTAAAACTTAACAAAGTAAGTACATTCAAATATGAAAGGTGTTACTGTTTGTTCTAAACACATTTCTTTTATTAGAAGGGATGCTTACTTTATTGGGGAACAGTTCCATTTGGGGGCTGTGTATTTGAACAACATTCACTTGGAATCAGCTGAAAGCTGTAATGTCTTTGAAATGAGCCATGGTAAATTACAAATGAAAGAAATGAGAACTTAGACGATTGCTTTAAAGCATTGTAGGTATTATCTGTTTATCAGAGATACTAAATATTATAGTTTTAATTATGCATCTCCTTGAACATCATAAACACTTTGGTGTTGGTAACAGTGTTTTCAGCATTTGTGTTCATTTTTAAGGACTATTGTTTAGTGCATTTTACCAACTATAAATCTTAATTGGTATGTTTTGAAAGGGTCATGTAAAGTTTTGCATTATATATCATGAAAATAGTCATAACTTAAATTTTTTTTTTCCTGACATTCACTGTAAAACATTCAGGGGTCCTACCATTTCTGTTCAGGAAATCTTGTAGTTGTTATTTAACAGTATTAAGTAAGTTTTTGTATATTTTAACTTTATTTGTGAATAGTGATTGTGGCATGTTTGGGGTGTTATTTTAATATTTCATGATATTGAATTTTTAATTTTTAAAAAAATTCTGGAAGAAACAGATTCATGTGTAATGGTGAATATTGGACCACTACTGCTTTTCACATTTGTAAATTGGTTTCATGTTAAACCCTGTAGCCTAACAAACTGCTGTTATTTCTAACTGACAGATATGTATTAATATTGTACTTTGAAGGTTACAAATATTATGTGGAAATTCCTTCATTTTGTTTTGAAATTTATAATAACAAAATCTCCATGTTGTATAAAATGTGATTTTGTTGTTATTTCTTGGGGAAGAAGACTGTCCAGAGTGGAATAATTTTCTTTTTATGGTTCCTTGTAAAATAATGAAGTTTCACTGTGCCAAAAGTATTAGCTACTTTATATTTGTGCTGACCATCTGTTTAGTAACCTGGGCTGCAATTTTATGAGATAGCACTCTCATTTTTATAAAGTATCAAGTTTGTCATTTCGTGGGGTATTTGATTTGTTGCAAATTTGGCCTATAATTATCCATAAGTTGATTCTTGTATATAAAAAGTGAAGGAATATATACAGTTGTTACATAAAATTCTTTTTCTTAGTAAGTTCTAAGGAAGTTTCTTCATTTTAGGAATTTGGTAAGCAAATAAGTGTTTGTAGGGTGTTTTTGTTTGTTTATTGATGTTTGAGTCACCATCAGATCCTGAAAACCTTTCAGTGAAGAGAAATGAAATTCAGAAATTTTGAACCTTGAATACTTTTGTGAATCCTCTTAAGCTAAAAAGATTGTTTAAGGTAAGAGAAGATGCTTTCTTTGTTTTCTTTCCAAGAGTTAGGGGTAATACTCCTTGAGTATATAGATATATACTCAACATGTAGTATATGTAGAGTGGCTGCACTCTGTGTGGTGTCTTATCAGCTTGAAAGACTACTTAACATGTTCTAATCTGTGTTTGGACTCAAAGCAATTCATGTAGGTTTTTATTTTTCTTTACTTTTTTATGATATTAAAATGGCAGTATTTTAACTATTCATAATTTAAAGTAGTTTATTCATACATCAATGCCACTTCAATGTGACACCAATTGCATTACAATGCTGGACAGTTACCATACTATTCCAGATTTTTTCATCAACCAGAAACTGAACTCATTAAAATTAATTCCCTGTTGTCTCCTCTCTCTATCCCATGGTAGCCATCAATTGACTGTCTCTGCATGTCCCTATTCTATTTTGTATGTATGGAATTATATCATATTTGTACTTTGTGTTTGGCTCATTTCATTTAACTTAATGTTTTCACGGGTAATTCATGTTTAACAAAAGGTTGAACTCTATTTCTTTTCATGACTGATTAGTATCCTGTTATGAATATACATTTTGTTTACTCATCTATCTTTTAGCTGTTGTGTATAATGCTGCTAAGAACATTAGTGTATAAGTATCTGTTTGAGTCCCTGTTTTCAGTTCTTTGGGATACACACACACAGGGAATGAAATTACTGGTCAAACATAATTCTACATTTAACTTTTTGATTAAATAGATCCACTATTTTACATTCCCAGTAGCAATATATGAAGGTTCCATTGTTTTCATCCTCACCAGTGCTTGCTGCTGTCCTCTTACCATCATAATCACCACTCAGTCTAATAGATGTGAAGTAATATTAATATCTCATTTGTAGTTTGGATTTACATGATGTTGAGCATCTTTTCATGTGCTATTTTAGCCATTTTTGTGTCTGCATTGAAGAAAAACCTATTCAAATACTTTGCCCATTAAGAACAAACCCCTATTTGTCTTTTAAGAGCCTTTTTTATGGACTCTAGATATTATACCCTTATAAAGGGTGTTATCTGCAATTTCCTTATGTTCTGTGAGTTGTCTTTCACTTTCTTGACATTGTCCTTTTGAGGCACAAGTTGTTAATTTTAAAGAATTATATTTTTTATTGTGTTTTTGGTGTCATTAAAAAAAAAATGTTGCCAGGTTTCCAAGTTCATAAATACTTGGAAACCTGTGTGTTCTTTTTAAGGGTTTTTTTTTTTTTTTTAATAGTTTTAGCTCTTAGATTTAGGACATTCATCCATTTTGAGTTAATTTGTGCTATAACTTCATTCTGTTGCATGTATATATCCATTTTTCCAACACTGTTACTGAAAAGATTCTTCTTAGGGGTAGAGAGCATGGTTAAGTGGTAGAGTTCTGACAAGTTTAAGGCCCTGAGTTCAGAACCCAGTACTGCCAAAAGAAAGAGTGTAAAACACTAAGTGGCACCAAATGTTGATGGATGTGGAGCAACAGGGACTTTTATTTGTTGCTGATGAGAATGAAGACTCTCTTTTCCCTCATCAAATGGTGCTGGCATCATTGTGAAAAATCAACTGGCCATAGATGTGAGGGTTTATTTCTGGGGTCTTAATTCTCTTCCATTATTCTGTGTCTGTAGTCTTTAATTATATGAATAGAACCATAATGTTCTATTCATATAAACTGTTACTACAGTTTCTTGTAAGTTTAGAAATCAGATTGCATAAGTTCCCCAACTTTGTTCTTTTTCAAGATTATTTTGACTATTCAGGGTCCCTTGAAATTTCATATGCATTTTAGCATGGAATTTTCTATTTCCTGAAATAAACAGGAAACACCATTGGGATTATGACAGGTTCTGCATTGATTTTTTTGAGCCTGAAGATTTCTTTGGGTAGTGTTATCTTAGCAATATTAAGTTTTCCAGTCCATAAACTTGGACTATTTCTATTTATTTCAGCAATCTTTAATTTTTTTCAGCAATCTTTAGTAGTTTTCAATGTGTAAAACTTATGCCTAAATTTATTCCTAAGTATTTTATTGTTTTTGCTGGTATTATAGGTAAAAGTTCTTCATTTTCTTTTGGATTTTTTTCATTGCTAGAATAAAGAAATACAAATGACTATTATTTTGTTGTTGTTGTTTTGAATTTGTACCCCCCCATGTTGCTGAATTTAGTAGCTTAACATTTTTTTTTTGAAACAAGGTCTCATTACGTAACTCAAACTGTCCTTGAATCCTTGAATTCATTATATAACCAAGGCTAGCCTCTGGATCCTCTTGCCTTGTCTCCCAAGTGCTGGGATTATAATAGGCACTTACTACCATACCCCACCCCTTTTTGTGAATTCTGTAGGATCTTCTACATATAAAATCATGTCATCTTCAAGGAAAGATAATTTTACTTCTTCCTTTCTAATTCAGATGCTTTTTATTTCTTTTTCTTGCCTAATTGCTCTGTTGGACTTCCAAGATTATTGACTAGAAATAGTGAATTTGTTCCTGGTTTTAGAGGAACATCTTTTAGTCTTTAACCACTGACTGTGCTATTAGTGGTGGCTTTCTGTCTATGGCCTTTAACATGCTAAAGAAGTTCCCTTCTTATCCTAGTTTACTGAGCATTTTTATCATGAGAGAGTATTGTTTGTTTTTTTTTTTTCTAAATGCTTTTTTTTCATCCTTGATTAATTTTCATATGCTAAACTACTCTTGTATCCCTAGGAAAATCCCACTTAGTAGGTTGAGTATCCCTTATTGAAATAACTTGAATCAAAAAGTGTGTCAGATTTTGTAGTTTTGGGATTTTGGAATATTTGTACAAGCTTTATTAGTTGAGCATTCCAAATCAGAAATTCTAGCATCTAAAATTCTCTAAAATCCAATTTTTTTTAGCATTATCACTCAGAAACATTCAGATTTCGAAGCATTTTGGATTTTCAGACAGGGATGCTCAACCTCTAATTCTTTTCAACATGCTGTCAAGTTTTATTTGCTAGTATTTGGTTGAGGATTTTTTTGCTTATATTCGTGAGCTATTTGGCTTGTATTTTTCTTCCTTGTACTATTGTTGTCTAGCTTTGTTATCAGGTTATTGCTGCTCTCATAGAATGAATTAAGGAAGTGTTCCCTCCTCGTCACGTTTTTGGATTTTAAATCTTTGTTAGAATTCACCAGTGATGCTGGTTCTGTGGTGGCATAGTAATCCCAGCAATCAGGAGGCTGGGGCAGGAGGATCACAAGTTCTCGGCTAGTCGGGACTACATATCAAGACCCTATCTCAAAAAGGAAAAAAAAAATTTCACCAGTGAAATTGTTCTGGTCCTAAATTTTTTCTTCATTGGGAAGTTTTGATTAATGGTATTGTCTCCTTACTTTTAACAATTCTATTCAGATTTTTTTCAATTTGAGTTGTTCCTGTTTCAGATTTTTTTCAATTTTAGTTGTTCCTGTTTCTAAAATTTATCCATTTTAGCTGTGTTGTCCAGTTCATTGGCAGAGTTCATAGTATTCCTTCATACTCAATAGTAATGGCTACTTTCATTTCTGATTTTAGAAATTTGTCTTCTCCCCTCTCACCCAACAAACTAGCTCAGTTTCATCAGTTTTGTTAATCTAATTTTAAAAACCCAACTTTTTGTTTCATAGACTTTCTCTTTTGCTTATCTGCACTCTTTATAATTTCCTTTCTTATGCTGCTTTAGATTTAGATTTCTTTTTCTTATTCCTTGGGGTATAAAATTTGGTTGTTGATTTGAAGTCTTCCCCTTTTAAATGTAGGCATTTGAAGCTATAATTCTCCCAGTATTGTTTGCAGCATATTCTATAGGTGTAGATATATTGTGGTTTTGTTTTCATTTTTCACAGGTGTTTTCTAACAGCTGTGATTTCTTATGTGAATTTTTTGGTTGTTTGTGTTGCCTAATTTCCATGTTTGTGAGTTTTCCTTTGCCCTATCATTAATTCCTAGCTTCATTCCATTGTGAGAGGAAAAGATCATTTTTATGACTTTAGTTTTTTTAAAAAATTTTAAGATGTATCTTAATTTTAAGATGAATGATACATTCTGTGGAATGTTTTGTGTATACTTGAGAATGTCTCATTCTGAGAATATTGTATATCGTGTTTGTTCATGTCTCTTGAGTCTAATTGGTTTATAGTGGTTCGTTCCTTTATTGATCTGTTATTGAAAGTGGGGTACTAAAGTTTTCCAACTATTAGTATAGAACAATTTCTTCTTTAGTTCTTCAGAGTGTGCTTCTTATCTTTGGAGGCTCTGAAATTGGGTGCATGTATGTTCATGGTTGTATAGCTTCTTGATGGATCTGAAAGTATGTTTGTGTGTGTTGTGTGTTTAGAGACTAAGTCCAGGTACTTGCACATGCTAGGCAAAGACTTGTCCACTGAGCCACACCCCTGCCCCTGGCTTGAACCTTTTGTTAATATATAATGCCCTTCATCTCTAATTTTTTTCTACTTTGTTTTCTGTGACAAAGATATAGCCACCCTGATCTCTTGGGTACTATTGAGATGGAATATCTTTTTCTGTCCTGTAGTGTCTGTTTATCTAAAGTGAGTCTCTTACAGATAGAATGTTGATTGTGGGATTTTTAAAAATCCATTCTGCCAATGTCTGCTTTTTAATTAGAGACTTTAAACCATTTACATTTATACTTCTGCCAATTAGTTATTTGTTTCCTGTATCTCTTGCATGCTTTTTGTTCTAGTCCTCCAGTGATGCCTTGTTTCATATTTAGTTGGTTTTTTGTTGTATGCCATTTTGATTTTCTTTTCTTAGCTGTGCATTTTTTAGGTATTAATTTGTATGGTTTTGAAAGATTTATTACCAAATGTAATTCTCTTCATTATTCCTAATGTCAGTGGTTCTGCTTTTAAATATTCTAATACAGATCCTTAACTTCATATCAAAATGTTAAATGGCAATATAAACTCATGAGCAGGCTGCTGAAATATTTGTGCACGTATATATGTTATAAACTTGAAATCTGCAAAGTTTTTTGTGTAACTTTAGATCTAAGGAAAGGTACAATGCTTCTTCCTCTTATTTGGAGCTTGTTTTCTAATATTAAGTTCAGATTCTGGGTTTATATATATAGGAAGTTTTCTCAGTTATCATCATTCCTAGTTGAGTACTTTCCATTACTGACTTAAAAAATTCCTGAAGTCACCAATTTTCTGTCAGACTAAAACAGGAAGGATATGACCAAGTTACTGATTGTAAAGCTGCTTTGATTAGGAAAAAAAACATAAAATTTTGATCATTTATAATTGGGAGAACTTTTCATTGGTGGCTTCTCCTTAAGAGAAGTGAGAAAAGTCAAATTATTAGAAAAACCAGTATTTCTGGTTTGCATTTCAGAAACTGCAAACTAAACCTGTGTTGAACAGAGTGGGTGTGGGTGCTAGCTGTGCAGCTGTACATATTTGGGAAGGGACACATACAAACAGAAGAGACTAGGATAAGAATCATGTTCACAACTGCTTGCTTCCCTCTCAGCCCTACTGCAGTAGTTGCAGAAATGCCTGAGGCAGAGCATGAAGGTATAGGTGGTGACTGTCTCACCTGCGGCACGTCTCAGGAGGTGAGGAAAGCTCAGCATCTGGAGGGTGGCTCCACTGGGCTGTAGGTGAGATATAGAATTTTGGTGAATACAGATTTGGGATTTGTGCAAGGCTCTCTTAGGACTCTTAAGTCTTTCCTGGAACAGTGCTAGTGAGGAAAGTCACAAAAGCTTCAGCCATTTCTCCAGCTGTATTGACAGTAGTTACATTCTTACAGTCAGTCCTTCATCTTCCTATTTCCTCCTTCATGCATATATGCTGCTTAGGTAGTCACATAGTGAATGAATGACATGGTGCTGTTGTGGTCCTTATGCACCATTTTTTAGGCAACATTGAAAGTCAGCAAGAGGTGCTTTGGGGTTCCGGTCCAACCATTGCGGCTTCCACAAACTTC